TTTTGTAAGCAAACGCACAAGCCAATTTGGACACAGACAGAAATACATCCCTCTGGCCACAAGGAGGAGATCTCTCTGGGTTAAAATGGATTTCAACTGGTGCCGCCAGCAAAAAGCATAGATGATCGCAGCAAATTGGACAACCAGTATTGTTCCTGATCGCTTTCATCGTGCCCCACAAAATGAGATGTGAGCAACAGTGGCAACCACACCACACCCTCTCCCAACATTGCTCTGAAACTTCAAAGTGGCCAGGGTGTAACTATCCAGATCTGTGGTAAATTCTAAAATGATCGTTTTAATTTGGGGCTGATTGACTGGGAGATACTGGTCTCTTGTTTTCCTAGGGTTCAGTTCAATAGTTGCCCTGTGTTACCCGACCTAAGTAGCAATGCTTCGCTTTAGTATCAGCAAGTTAATCAGCTCTGGAGGGCAACACAGCCTGGACACCTTCTCCCTACCTATCTGCCACACACAAGCATAGCCAGAAGAGGGGTCTGTAGACACCAGGAGCTGTAACCTGGGCTCATTTTCTATTGCCAAGTTTTGCATTCACTTACCTCCCCCCAAATAGGACATTGATAAATTGGAGGAAATATTCTGCTATGAGTCGAAGCACCCCAAGAAGTTGTGACATTCTTTGAGACATTCTTCCGATGGGGAAAGGCGCTATATTAATGTAAACTGCTGTTTATTAATTGCAAAAGGGTTTTACAATTTCCAGACTCAAAAATGCAAAATGTTCCAGAGTTTATTGACCAAAAAAAATGAATTTTCCGCATACAATCCTCAGCTGGCAAGAAAACCTTATGAAGGTTAAAATTACTAAAAAAAAACATGATACAGTAGAAATGTTCTATCCCAAACATACAATAACACCCAATACATTATATAGATTAATCAGTGCTGCCATATAAAACAGTAGTACAGCCAAAAGTACAGCTCACTTTTCAGTGTACTAAATTATAAATTGGCAATTTATCAGTGTTGCATTAACAAGGCACAATAGAATTCATACATTTCACTATATAGTCACACAAAAAAACACAGCTGTTTAAGGCTGTTTAGTAGTCTAATACAATCCTGAAGACAAATAGGCTCATTTAAGCAACAGAAACATAGAACCAAATGAAAACATCTGGATTCTCAAAAAAGCTACTGGTACTTATCTAATGCTTACTCAGCAAAAAAATAACTTTTATATTGTGCAGTATCAGCTCGAATTTTGAAGCTACTCCAATCTGTAAACTTTAATGCCAAATTAGGACAAGAGAGGAAAGTTTCATGATTAACGCCTTGAACTTAATAACATGAAGAGAAGTGGCTCATTTGAATAATTGAGTGAAGTTAACTATTAAATAAAACACATTAATTTATTAATTTAATTTCATCATCTTATAAGTGAAGATTTGGATGGGAAGTAAAAATACACATTGAAAACGCGCAGAGTGCTCCAACACAAGTGGAAATGGTAGATTTATAGCATGGTAATTAACGTCAAACTAAATATAAATTGACCCATATACGTACATTAGATAATAGTTTCTGAATTAAAATCGATTTGCTGAATTAAATCGATTTTCAATGAGTTTCATCAATCTCGATTCACACACATTTCTTGGCAAACTAGTCAGTAGGGTGTTTGTCAGGATTTAATTGGGAGTTCCTGCTTGCGAAAAATATTTAGTGTGAAGTTTATCTAGATATTACACAGCTCTCCAAAACCTTATTACTAAAGCCGAACAGTTGAAAGACTTGTGCGCAGTACAGTGACAAAATCTGGAGCAAGGAATAAAAGCGACAGTGTTTCCAGACATGTACATCTTCAATGGGCAAGATTCAAATCCATGGTAGTCTTTAGAAGAACAAATTATCTTGGGGAGTTAATTTATTGCCTAAGATTACAGGGGGTGGGAAGAGAGAAAATATTATATTTTTACATACAGAATAAATAAATCAAAAAGTTTCCAAAATGCTTTTCCAATTACTTTCCTATTTTCTAGCCATCAGTTTTGTAATCTAAGTGTAATCAATGTGGTTTTAGTATTTAAAGTTCAAAGGAACAGAGCAAGTATTAAAATAAAACAAATCCTGGAAATTTATTATTTTAATAATCTGACATGAATTTTTTTTTAAAAAATGCAAGCTTTGAACCAACTCAAAGCAGTAAGCACTAAATCTTCATGTCTTTATACCATTTAATATACATCTTAAATGAACCTTATTTCTCACATTTCGCTCTATACAGAGTAGGACAGGAGTACATCATCATTTAAAAGAAGCACATTACATTACAAGCATTTATTACTACAGTATGTCTGTGCTTACAGTGCAACAACCCATTGAGTGCCAATTGAGAAAGCATTCAGTCGTGAAGTAGTTTAAATCTTTCAGTCTTTAAAACAAAATTTAGGAAATTTGGTTAAAAAAAGCTGAACCATAGTTTGAGAAGCGGTGACCAAATGGTTTTTACACGTTAGTGACGGAGAACCATTGGCAGATGAGAGATCTGGTAGAGAAGGAAATTGCTGGACAGTGAAGGATGTACACCACGCATTTAAGTACATTTCCAGACATCAAGGCTCCCAGCAACTCATAGAAACTTGCGTCTCTGAGCTTAATAGAGCTAGAGCGTGTTAGACACCACTGTGCATAATAAAATTCATAACGCATCACTTCAGATGAACGGATAGTTCGCCTAATCCAAAGATCTCGCCTCTCCCACTAGTAGAAAATTAGCTCCAGGAATTTTGGGGGGGGCTTTTGTTATGCCCTACGTTAAAAAAAAAACTTTTCTTCCTTTTCTACGATTTTGTTGACCATTTTAAAAACTGGGCCTTGTAAGTGAGAAAAAAAACATTTATATATACAAATCGATTTGGGATAACAGTGATAGACTTATATATAATCCCCCAAATAAAGGGATTATTGCAACCGTAAATAGCAACAGTACAGGTGGTACAAAAGGCAAAACGTCAGTAGTTATTGATCTGGGAACGCAATAATCCAGACCAGGAATATGAAAACTGTTCCCATCACATCAGTCATGGCCTTTCAGGATTATGAATAAATAGTTTAAATTAATCCAACTGAATCAAATTGACCGTACAAAAGCCACACACTTAAGAGGAGTACAAGGGTAAACGATGAAAAAAGGAAACAACAGTGCAAAGCTGTGGCTTGTCAGAGCTGACCAAATCATTAGTCGTACGACTGGATTCCAGATAAAATTAATATTCAAGTCAGCAAGAGCGATCGCATAGGCGATTGCAATTTCCTACTGGCGTTTCTTCTATTTGATCAACGTCCTTAATTCTGAAGAGACTTATTCGAATCACTGTATTACTGTCATGGATTTGAGGTGTCCAAAGATTCAATTCCTGCACCACTCTGTGGTAAATTCAGATTGTTGCAGACAGAGGCTATTTAAAATCAGGACACAACACAGGGATGTGAAAGTGGTGTGCAACTTGTCTGAAATATTAATGTAATGGAGAAAAGTTGAAATATACTTCCAGTGTAAAGCAAGAGTTAATCCTTGCTCACCAGATAAGAGGCATAGTGGTAAGCAATATGGCAATATGTAACAGAGATAGAATATTTGCACAATCATGAGGCTGCTATTGCTAACCACTACAATATCCTGGCCAGCAAAGATAAATGTGTGTGTATATATTATTATATGTATATAAATAAATAATAAAGAATCACAAAGGGTGCTTGAAGGGCTGCGATGGCTTTTGTAAGAACATTTGTCCACCCCGTGTCCTCCTGCCATGTGGGTATTAAAATTTCTGGCATTAATCATGGTTATAAAGAAACACTGAACTAGAATCACGTCAACCTCATGTAAAATGCAGGCAGGAAGAGGGAGAGAGAGAGAGCGAGTGTGCGCGCAACAAATGCAGGAAGCAGTTAAATTAACATATTCCATAAAGTCAGAATTACCTCATACCCCCACAGTTGGCCCTACGAAAATAGAAACACCAACAGTTCAGCCATCTACAGTCACACCAAGAGAACACAGTCACTAGCGTCACACTCTGCAGCAACCAACACAACTGTGAAAAATTAACTCATTGTAAGAATATGCTGCCAGGGGTGGGGGGTGGGGGGAATGCTAGAATACGATACAGGCAAATTATAGGAGGATTGCAACACATCCTCTCCACAAGCATGGCTCAGATGTCACCTTATAGGGGTAGCCTTGTGTAGGGTTGGATCATGAAGGCCTTTTCTCATGCTTAATTTTTTTTTTACAGATTAATCTATTAACGCTCATCACATTCCCCAAATGCTAACGTTTTGGCAGGGGGTGTACATGTATAAAAAGTAGGAAGGCAGATAATCGACCACCCCCCTCCAAATTCTATGTTTTTTTTTACATCAATTTACATCAATCGTACAGGTTTGTGCCACTGCGGAAAAGAATTCCCTCGAACGTAAAAAGAGATGAAGAAACAGGCCTTAAAGGTTTAAAATCCACCAACAGTCATAACAATCCAAAGTAACAGTCGTCTCCATTGCACGAGCAAGGAATCGAGACGCAACTAGCTCTATAAAAAGAATACTGAGGCCGAAATAGTGAATGAGAATGCAAACACCCACAATGTTCAAGCATGGTAGGCTCAGTTTTGGCAGTATGCTGTGTTAACAATTAGTGATCCTTTTTTGGATTTTGGATACAGCGCTTATCACATCAAATCACCTTAAAGCAGTTCAGAGTCTTTCCTGTAAAGTGTAGTAGCTGTATTTGTAGGTGGTACACATACACAAGCCAATTTCTAAAACAGCCTTTCTAAAAAAATGAATGACCTTTTTTCTTGAAACTTGGGAGATTGTTGGCCAGCACACCAGGAGAACCACCATTCTCTTTCCAAATAGTATCATGGAAATGGGATTTTGGTTTAATGACTGATCCCAGGTATGGCACCTCTGACAATGTAGCTTCCCCCCCCCCGCCACCCCCCAGCACTTCATTGAAATGTCAGCCTAGACTGAGCTCAAAATCCCAATGTGGGATTCAAAGGCCAGAGAGCTTCCAACCAACTGAGGCTGATAACACCCGGTACATATTAAGAATTGGCCTTAAAGATTTAAATTCACTAAAGGTCATCTAAAAAGTTACTTATTAAAAATGTTTTTATGATGATTGATAAAATTTAAGCCTTTTAAGCAGCAAGAAGTTCACAACAGTTCATTGACGTATTGGCCAACATTGGATAAAGTGGACAAAAAAGTCACTTTTTAAAATAAAAAAATATTTTTTCTTCATTCTGCATTCAAGACTTACATTGGGTAGTGAATGAACTCTCAAACCTATGATATAAAGTAGGGTTGAGCCGGCCCTAATCACAATAGGCCACTTTCATTTCACTAAAAAAAGTGTTCTGTACTAAACCTGTACATGCACAGAACTCAACCCAAAAATGAAGTTTTGTTTTCAGTCAGATTGGCAGCTATCCGGGAGGGAAGGGGGGGGTGGAGGTCAAGGGGGAAACCGCAACGTTTACCCAATTTTCTCCAGCATTACGGTGCGTCTCTCCAGAGAGAGTATGCGCATTCCATTGTAGACGCACGGAAATTTCCATGTGTAGGTAGCAAAGAGATATGATACTCTGTCTGGTTTAGATGCTCTTAAATGTGGTGATGGATTTCCTCACACTCCAAACACCAACCTTAAAAAAGATTTTAGGTCCAATTCAACACGGTTTGGGAGGTTTCAGTTTTCTTATTCTATTGCTGGGAGTGAAGCAAGTATGTACACAGCGCTGAAGACACTTTAATTCAGAGCAACATTCAGACTCCGTGGTATTACCAAAGGCAGCTTCATATCTTTGCTGAAGAAATAAAACCCTGAAAAGCAGCAGGTGGAAATGCACAAAAACTAATGAACATCTCAGTAGGCAAACACCCAGGTTTGCTCAAGCCTCCAAGCTCACGGCAACCCACTTTTTTTTAAAAAAAAGTCACTAAAAATCACAGAGGGACAAAAAAAATTAAAAGGCTGATTTTTGAGAAAGGAACTACATCAAAAAACACACAGTGCTGAATCCTCTAGCCTAAACACACACGCCCAGTGACTCCACTTCATCATCGGGCAAGTTCTCCATGGAGCCAAAACTGAGCGAATTATTTGTCGAGACTGGAATGCGTGGCTTCACGGACTGTCTGCGTATCGTGCCAAAGGGAAACACCGATGAGAGGCGGCTGCTCAGGCGAAACGAGCAGGAGGCTGCCCTGGGAGAGCTCGGTTGCCTCTGCAGTAACGTGGCCTCCAGTTTCATCTTTAGGCTTTTGATCTCGTCCTGGACCTCGCACGCTTTGTTCAGAGTGGCTGTGGGACCACCGCCTGGTATCTGAGCCTCCGGGATCCAGCGCATGTAGCGTTGGACCCAAATCCTTATCACCGGGCTGTCGTACAGAGGCAGCAGAAGCCCCTGATAGTCGATTGGTTTACTGCGCCAGTGCTCGTAAAAGGGTCTGTAGTCGATGGCGGTGTCTTCAGTCGCAAACGTCCACCTGCTTATTTTTTTGCCAAGGAAAGTCTTGATCAGATTGTCCGTCTCTTCCCTCAAGAAGCTTTTTTTGGCAACAGGTTTGGATTGATAAGATGGACTCGATGGCAGTGACATCTGTCGCTGTGGCTAACAGGTGAAACGGTGGGGTGGTGGTGGGGGGGGGGGGGGGAGAGAAGAGAAAAAGAATGAACTTTCATCAATGCAGTTTGCTTGTATACACACTTACAAGATGTCTCGGTCTTGCAGCCAATGTGAAATGAAAGAATTGGAAACCAGCGGATGAAATGCACATCGCAAATGGATACAAGTAAATTCCACATGCGATGAGACAGAACAGATACCCCAGGATAACTAGAAAAATCTATGCATTGGGGTTGTAAACTGGATGAAATAAAGGAGTGTCTTGGAATGATTCAAGTTGGTGAAACCGAGATGGAACAGAAAGACACCCAACAGATATTTTGGTGTAGAATTTCCTTTGAGCAAAAACAGCCAGTAAATCAGCACTGCATGCAGCCAGGCAAATTTGGAGAGGGGTACTTTTCACTTTCAGGTAGATGTGGTATCAGTCATTACAGGTTAGGATAGAAAACACTTTCTTTTTTTTCGTAAAAAAGATATAAATCTCCCATTTCCTGTCAATCCTTTTTTCTTGTTCCCCTCTTATTTCAAGCTGCAATACAGCTCAAGCTGTCCAATAGTTTTGTACAAAAAGAGATTTTAAGCTATGGTGAACACTTAAGCTATATTTAGGTTGTCAGTATGTTTAGGGATCTTTTTAACCACAAAACTGATGAATTCAAGGTTGTAAGGTAGCACATCACTTCCCACATGCTGCGCATGCCAACAATGTCACTTCCTGCACATAGTGCCCATGCACAGTACACAGGAAGTCACGCCCGTGGCAATCTTACAGCTCAGAAGTCAATCATTTTTGCAGTTCAAACAATAAATATTTTTAAAAACACATGTTTATTGATGGGAATCCATTTTTCTCAATTTGAAACATCCAAATTTGAGCATGCGAACATGTATGTGAGCATACAGCTCGGACCATTGTGGCTCTTACTGTCGAGGGCATCTCTACACTTTAAGTCTCAATCTCTCAGGAACTGGTCAACCACTCTGGATTTCCTCTGCATCTAGTATGGAACTCCTCAAGCTTTGCTTAACCCCCATCTCTTCCCCCACTACCACATAACACACAACATATACAATATTTTTAGGCACTAATTTTATAAAACTCAGAGTGAAGGACAGAGTGAAGGACTATGTGAATTTCTTGGGATTAGAACTCAGAACCTTCTAATCCCTAGTGCCAGTACTCAACCAACCACACTACCCTAGATATCAGTGTAAGCGAATGCAGGTAAATGGGAAATGATAACCCTTGCATTATCATGTCATTGAAATGTCTCAAAAGCGCGCCATAGAATATACTATAAAGTGGATTGACTGTACTCAGTGGGCGATAGGATCAATATGTTTGCGCAGAAATGGATTAAAAAAAACACAATGTGCTTGACAGAGCCTATTCACACAGCCTTTCTTGCTATCCGATCATCAGTCATCACCAAACAATTTGCAACAGTGATTTTCTTAGGATTTTGGTACCACTCTACATGTAACAGAAATGCAAAGTTATACCGCATGCAGCTGTTCATACACAAGATAGTATATGATTTGTGAGTGGGGGAGGGAGATGAAGCAAGATTAAAGAAAGTTTAAGACCTTAAAATACCTCTAGTATATCCAGATCATTTTCAAAGACATTCTCCAAGCAGTTCAGTGCAGGGTCCTTTGATGATATGAACAAGGTGATTTACTCAAGATGACAATAATAGCTTGTGTAAGAATGTACTGTTGCTTTCTCTTTTAAAAATCACAGGTTCATCATCTGGTCTACTGAGATGCAGGACCTTAACCCACCACACACATTTATCCAATTCTTAGAAAAGAGGTTAGCTTGTTCTGTATTAAACTGCTTTATCCAGGAATCTGTTTTACACATAAGAACATAAGAATTTGCTCGGCAAAAGATGACCAAGGTCCATCTATTTCACTTTCCACCATCCCGGCAGTCGCTTCCCAAACTATATTCCGTATCCCGAGATATTATTTCCTAACATGTCCACTCCCCAGGAGAGTTTATATTTTTGGACCCTCGAAGACTGTGATCCACATATAATTCAAACTTCAAAAATAAGAAGCACCACATACTTAAACATGTATCACTTTCATATTCACAAAGTATATTCAACCATAAATAACATGAAATAACCATTACCTTAACTCGCTGGGTTTTTCGAACGTGATCAACTTTTGGCTTTCCGATGAAAAGTGGATTATAAAATAGTGCCTGAACTGAGGGCTCGAACTGCACAGACCATTCCCATACTGTAGGAAGTTTCAAAGACCTGCTTTGTATATGTCGATCTTCACCAAACTGACAACAAAGTAAGGAAACAGATTGTGTTGAGTTGGGAAACCTTACCAAACTGTAAATGTGCGGGAACCATCAGGCAGGTTTGCAACACAAGAAAACATATGCCCAAAGTTTTAAAAAAATGGATTTCTGCACCACATATTTATTCAAAACACACCATTGATCATTTTTAGCATCAGTTCCAGCAAAGACACAATGGGCCGAATGGCTCTCTTCTGTGTTGCAAATTCCATTGGTTCCTTTATGTCCAGCAGCGAAATAAGTCAATACCCACCCCCCTACACATGTACAATTCCTTACCTACCTGCCTCAAGGATGAATATTCCTTTGTATAAGAGTTGAATCCTAGCAAAAGTAAGTGTTCTACTTAATGCTTCCCACAAGAGACAAATAATGTCAAATGCACACGCACGCACGAATGAAACAAAGTGACCAAGGCTCCTACCATGTTCTTATCTCTTTGCTGTGGTGAGTTGAACAGGAAGGTGCTGAAGATGGGGATGTACAGACTGTCTGACAATATGGTCAGGTAGGTCTCTGTGAACTCAAAGGCTGGTGTATGTTGCTGGTGTAACTGCCACACACATTCCAGAAAGAGCAGGAAGACTGGCACCTGGGAGCAATAATTCAAGTTAATACTTTCATTTGGTATAGTAACAATAATAATACTTGCATTTGATATAGTATCTTATCAAGTCTTTGAGATGTCTTGAAGTGCTGCACAGAACATATTGTAAAGTAAATTGACTATATTTTGTGGGAGACACGCGGCAGCCAATTGCGCACAGGGGTGCCCCACAAACAGTCATAGATTGAGTGATCAAATTTTATTTTTCCTTTGTTGAGGGTGGAATTATTACTCCCAGAAAATGATATTGACTAACAACCAGGTTCCTACTTACTGGTAAACAGAGTTGTGCAGAGTAAGGACACTTGTCTAAGGTTTTCACCCACCCGGGAATTGAACCCAGCTCCTCTCACTTTTACAATGCGAGCATGCTAACTGCTATGCTGTAGGATTCCATGTCATTAGGGACTTCCACATCACCAGGACATCTTCACATGCTATACTGTAAAGTCAAGTTATCTCGCAGTGCAATCTTCCATGGCGCAACTTTTGGCACACATCGTGCTATTGCATGTAGTCCATTTTAAATATTGCAAGAATTAGATTCTCTCAAAAATTAGGAAGATCTCAGGTTTTCTTTTTATGCACCAGATGTACAATTGTATGCTTCTCCTTCCTGGCTCAAATCAGTGGAACCCCTGCCTTTACCTCCCCCAAGGTCCAATCAATCATTTTAGTAAAGATACTTCAATTGGCTACAGTTTCCTGGGCTACCAACGGGGGGAAAAGAGAAAGCTAGGTTTCCTACTCCCTATAGCTACCTAAACCTCTGATGCTCAACTATGGGTATCTGTCTACACAAGATTAGGGTTAGTTGGGCAGCAGTCAACAGAGGCTAAGGTCACGAATGAAGACTTGGCAAGGTATCAGACAGCAACCAACATGAGTGAAACTATCCCCAGTCAAAGTACTTTCCCTTCCAGTAAGGGGCAGGAAGTTGGAGAGTAATCCACTCTATATGATTAATATCATTGCTCAAAGCTTTTAGAATACTAAGATATTTCAATCATCTTTGTTCAGTTTAAAACTGGACAACTTCACCCTTCACCTAATCCTGTGAAATGAGTTTTTGAGCTGCCCTGAAGCTTTTTTCTCCTAAATAATAATAAAATAATCCTTGCATTTGATACAGCGCCTTACCATGTCTTTGAGAATCTATGTTTCAACCACCCCAAATTACATGGATGTCTATGAAACACGATTTACACAGCTCCTAGCACAAATTCCTCACAATAACCACATTCAATTCAAGCAATCCCAATGGGATTCTGTGGGCCGATCAACCTTAGATAATGTTCCCTCTTCCAAGTTAAGCAGAACATTGGAATGTAAATCGTTCTTTATTTGCCTGTTCTTACCTCGTATTTATCATTACTTCGCAGATGATTACATCGATCCAGGAAACGGTGGCAGCCCATCACCCACTCCTTTTGAATCAAACTCTGGAAACCTGATATTGTCCTGAAGTACGGATCGACCATGACTTGGACCAGACTCGCTATTAGACAGCACAGATCAGACCCATCTTCTTCTGTACTCGTCAGTTTAAACAAAGCAAAAAAAAGCTGCAGTTAAAAACACAGACCTTCCACTTTTACAGTCTACAATGGCAAAACATCTCACAGGATCACCGCGATTACAGTCAGATTGGAGTAACTTTTTTTTTGTAACTCAGTTACAGGAACTCAGTTGAAGGCAATGACTCGACTGCAGAGCAAATATAATAATAATCCTTGCATTTGATATAGCGGTTTTTCGCGTCTTCTCGACGTCTCAAAGCGCTTCACAGAATAGACTGTAAAGTGAATTGACCGTATATTTGTGGACGAAACATGGCAGCCAATTGCGCACAGCAGTGTCCCACAAACAGTCGTGGACTGAAGCAACCAATTTTATTATTGTTTTTTTTGAAGGATTATTATCAGGCGTATGGAGTAAAGAAACTTGCCCAAGATTTCACACTGCCGGGAATCAAGCGAGGGGTCTCTCGCTTGCGAGGCGAGTGCTCTAACCACTGAGCTACAGGACTCCTGAGACATCCTCCAGAAGTGAAAGATGCAATACCAAGTGCAAGGATTAATCAAACCAATCTGGATTAAGAATTTACCTGGAACTTGAATGGGATTCTACACGATGATTTTTAAATTGTGAAAATAATAAATCCTTGGCTTTGATATTGCGCTTTATCAAGTCGCCAAACAAAATCTCAAAGAGCTTCACATGATTTAGAGTAAAGTGTAGTGACTGTATTTATAGGCAATTTGCACCCAGCAGTGCACTCAAAGTCCAGATGTGGGACTTAAATGTGCAAACTCCTGACTCAGAGATAAGAATGCTATTAACTGTCAGCCGATTCCAAAAATGGGACATTTCACAAAGAGCTCACAATTTTGCAAGAAACCCCAAAAGATATCAAATCAGTCCTTACCCACAAGCACCACAGATGTGTTTTTATGCTCCAAATATTCAACAACATCCAAGGCTTTCTTCAGACACTGCCTGTGAAGCAACACAATCAACAGCTTGATGCCCTTCAACCACACATTTGCTCACCCATCAGTGACATAAAAAGAATAGCCCTGAGGCTGCTCCCTCCCCACCACCCCCACCCAACACACAAAAAAATATCCACCGGATACATTGCCCAGAAATTGCTAAAATTTATAAACCTAAAAATTCTAAAAGTACACACACATTTAAAAGGAAAAGGCCAAACAAATATCGAAGAGGAAGCTAAAACAATGTGCGGGAATGCACCAAAGCAGAGTCTCATCAACATTTTTTCCGAGATTAAGGCAAATGAGATGTGAGTGCACTAATGTGGCACTCAAAATAAACATCCTGCTGTGGTTCAAGACTTCACTCCCTGCCAGCTTTCTGCAGCCAAGTCTTTAACGGTAAGACGTTCCTCGTTTTTAACGTGGCATGGTGGGTTGGGGGTTGCGGGGAGAAAACAAAATAGGTTTGTTAAAGGCTCCTCAATCCTGTACATGTCTAACAGCTGGCTTACAATGAGAGCCATAGTTACTCAAAGGATTCTTCGGGAGGAAAAGTTACTTTGTTAATAACCTTCAGGATCCTAATAGCATTCCCATAGGAGCAAACACACTTTTTTTATTTGAAGACACACTGTAAACTAAAATTAAAAAGATAGATCATGCTATAGACAGACTACACACTTTTTTTTTTAAAAAAGCACACTCATGTGGCCTGCAATTACGGTAGCGTTAAAGACTTTAAAGTTTTATTTTGTTTCCACATCTTTAATCCTCTCTTACACACCTTTAAAGTACCCTTCCCTGATCATAATTTATTGGGATTTTTTTGGGTGTCAGCCGAGTGCATGACACATGCGGAAACCCATCCCCATGCTTAAGAGTATCCAAACCAAACTGAGAATTCCATGCATCCCATCTACACATGGAAACCCCAGAGATAGGATGTTGAAATGGATTACGCTCTCTCTCCCTGAAGGGACCCATCCTCCTTACTTAATTCCAAAAAATATTAGGAAAATAAATGACAATATAGTTTACAATGAACATTAAAAAAAAGTTACAAACCTAATAATTTCCAGCCAGTTTGCATTCTCTAAAGCAGACAGACATTTATGGTCGGACTCCCAGAATTCAGTCCCATTGTCTGTAAGAGAACAAATTAGCACAGCAGTGAATATATATATCTAACCCGATATTCAATGAGTTTAGATGTCAATCAAGTCTCAGCACTTTAGAGAATCATAGAAATCAACACAGAACAAGACCAAGTGCCCCATCGATCTTATCGTGTCAACAACTTCACTGCAGGCAACTACTGCAATCTCACTCACCGTACTCTTATAAAATATCCCTCTTCTAATGCACACACACACACACACAGGGTGCCTATGTGTCTGTGCCTTGAGGCGCTATCCTGCATGCAGGGCGCTATATAAGTGCAAGTTGTTGTTGTGACCAAAAAGTCATGATACCATCACAAAATCTAATAAGTCTCAAAGAAAAGATTATATACTTTTTAAGATAATAGGGTAGTTATCATGACTTTCTGGTCAACCTGTATATAAAAAAAATTCCACAATTATTTCAATTCATACCTAAAAGGCTACGCAAATAATTCTTCAAGGCATGCTGTAAAATCACAAATGAGTTTACCCATCAGGAACAGCTGTTTGAATCTGTTATACGAAGCCTGAATTTCCTGCAGGGACGGGAGAGTGGCTGACAGGTTCTCAGGCCTGACTCTGTGGCTTACGTGATGACTGTTACTGAGTGCAAGCAACGCCCTGAAAAAAANGCAAAATCAAGAGAATTTAATGATTAGAGCGAGAGAGAGGAAAAATAAACATTTCTATGGTCTATTACACAGATTTTTTTGAACGCAACAGTATTTTATTAAAAAAACGCACTTAGCTCAAAAATAACCCTCAATTATTAAAAAAACTGTTCAATTCTTCTAAGGCTCACTGCAACCATTCATCAGCAGAGAGGTTGGCCTATGCCTCACTGTAGACATACAGTCCTTCTTTAGCAGAGACAGAGGCCTATAGTGTATTGCAACCAGGCAGTCATCCTTCAGCAGAAGAGGAAGCTCCAGCCTCGTTCTCTGAACCAGTGTTGATTTGTGGCTCGTTTGGTAACACTCTTGTCTCTGGATTCATAGTTTTGTGGATTCAACCACCAAGGACCTGAGCTCACGTATCCAGACACATCCCAGTGCAGTTCTGACAAGAGGGAGCAATGCATTGTCGGCAGTGTCTTTAGATGAGACGTGAAACTGGGGTATCATCCGCCTGTTCTGGCAACTCAGATGGCCATTCATTTTTTGTTAATAATAATAATAATCCTTGCATTTGATATAGCAGCTTATCACGTCATTGAGATGCCTCAAAGCGCTTCACAGAATACACGTAAAGTAGAGTGTCTATTTTGTGAGTGAGCACAGCAGCCAGTTGCACACAGCAATATCCCACAAACAGTCATGGAGTGAATAACCATGACTTTATTTGGGGGAATGTTGGCCAGAAAAAAAGTCTCAGGGCATGATTTTGAAGAGCAAGGAGCATAGTATGACCTGCAAAATATTGCTAACCCCGTTGAAAATCATCACCTAAAAATACAGTGCATTTAATTCCATTGCTGTTGATGGAGCATATTATTTGTTGTGTAACAACAACTTGTATTTATATAGCTCGCTACACATGGGGTAGGGTCCCGGAGTGCTTGTGTATACAATAACAACACTACCTTTGTACAGTGCCTTTCACATCAGGAGGATGTCCCAATGCGCTGGACAATCAGTGTTCTGGATAGATAACACATAATAATAGATGATGAGAAGCACTTTGAGACACTTCAACATGGAGGGATAAAATAAGGTGCCATATCAGAGGCATCAGCCTGGCTCAGATGATAGTAGTCTCATGTTTTGAGTCAGAAGGTTGTAGTTTCTACAGTCAGGACTTTGAACTCAGTCCAGGCTGACGCACCAATGCAATGCCAGGGGGAGCACTACATCATTAGAGGTACCTCCCTTTACAGGTGCCTTTTAAACCAAAGTCTCATCTGACTGTTCTAGTGGATGTTAAAAATCCTGTTCAGGTGAAGGATCCTATGGCATTATTTGAAAAGGGATGGCATTTTCTCCTGGTGTCCTGGCCAACAATCCCCCAGATAGAATTGGCCATTCACTTCACCGACATTTGTGAGACCTTTCTGCACACAAATTGGCTGCAGCGTTATATCCTGTGAAAGGCTTCGAGACAGCCTCCCGAAGTGAGACACTATCAAATGCAAGATAACATCCATGTTTAGTGGTTTCCTTTTCTGATCTACACATATGTCATTTCCTCTTTGTTTTACAGCAACCGTAAGTGCAACAGTAAATTGTGAGAGGTAGGCCACTCTGGAAAGCTGAAATGTGCATTACAGCAACCGACCTGTCAATGAAATCTTTGTTGGCTTGAGAAGCGACCTCGTGATCAGTGACTTCGGGAAGGGCAGCCATCTTTAACAAGGCGCAACCACTGCAGTGAGACCAGCACCAAAGCTGCAGGAATGGAGATAAATGGCAGAGTTTCAGAACTGTGCAATATTTTAAAAAATCACTCACAACATCTATACAGAAAGAGGGCAAAGAGCCTGTAACTGAATCCACATCACTCTTGCATCTCCTTGAACAAAGCACCATTATACGAATGAGAGTCATGGTCACTGTTAAAGGGTGGGGGTGGGAAGACATTACAACACCTATTTCCCAGACTAAGCCCCCAAAAAGTTCACTATCTAGCAATTAAAAAGCAATATTGTATCCTAATCTTAGATTCAGATGGTTATGAGCATCAAAATGGTTCTCAGGTTTTCTAGGAAGTAAGCTTAAACTACTGTCCTATCACTGCTGGTAAATTTGAATCAATTGCTATTTATCCAACAGCCAGCTCTTTATTATTATTATTATTATAAATGTAAAGCTCAGGTCACTTTACAAAACATCAACAAATTGCATTTATATAATGAGGTTAAAAGAGGCCACTTAGTTCACCATTTGGCTATTTGTAATAACTGAAGCATCTATTTCATTGAAATAACTAAAAAACTGCAATCAAATATCTAAGGGATAAGAAGAAAGATGCAGATGCCCAAATCTGCGTTAAAACGTGGAAGCCATCTACCTGGATCAGATCAGGAGTCAAGGGTTAAGTGTTTTTATCTCTGGATAATAAATACATGGTTGGCAGGACATCAGCATGAGTCATGCTGTAAAGCTCCCAATTGTGAAGATAGTCGAGAACAGAGAGTGGGATAAACGTGGGGAGAAAGGAAAAACAAAACTCACGGGTATGCCATTTCCTTTGGACTTAATTTCTTCATCAGTCACCGTCGAAGGAACAACAAAGAACTGTGGAAGACTAAAATTAACAGGAAGCAGAGAAAAAATTAATGATCAAGTAGGAAGTAAACCTGCTTTTAAACCGCATCTCTGTAAAAGAGGAAGAGAATGGGAAGCCATTCTTGACACTGGGCAGAAATAATAATAATAATATCATCAAGCATTTATACAGCACCCGTCATGCAGGGTAGTGTCTCGGAGCGCTTAACGGAGGCAGAGCTTGATTCCGCTAACATGTTACTACACATTAGGGAAAACTCTATGAAATATTTGAGACATGGTCTAAAGGCACAATATCAAATGCAAGGATTATTACAATACTACTGGTTATTAACTCCTCACCTGGAGCTGGTTTTATAGTTTTCATTAACTGTAACCACTCTGTATGTGAGAACACCTTCCGTGCGATCAAGCTCCATCTTCCAGTCACTTTTAGTTTCAAACATTACAGTTGGAGGCCCCTCATCAACATCCACTGGACCCACTGAACAGACGAGAGGAAAAAATAAATTCATTCATCTCTTCTCTAGATAGGACATGTAATTTCACCAAATGAGCCTCCTGAAATTACTGCAGTCTTCAGCCTCGAAAACATTGAGAAGAAGTTATCCAGGGTTCCTGTTGACCTTGGTGACCCCCCGCTGGAAAGTGAGCATGTGGAAACCCATCACCGTGCTTAAGAGTATCCAAACCAGACAGAGTTCCACACATTTAAAGTAAAACTCGAATAAATCCGATTTGTGTAAATCATACAATCGCCCAAGTCGTCCAACTATCTGCCCAGGTCCCGTTCAAGAGTTCAGATTCTATGCAGGTTTGACATTACTCATACTTTGCATAAGTCATATTAAATGTGTAGTCCCAACTGATACAACTTGTTTGAGGTTTACTGTGCGTCATCAACACACGCAAATGCAGTATGTGGAATGGAATTCACACTCTCTACACACACACCTCCAGGGACACACCCTGCTTATTCAATCCTGAAATCATTAGGTGTAGACTATTGGGAGCCAAGATTGTGGAGTTCAAACAGATAAAACTTGCCAGCGAGTGCACTGCCTGGCAAGCTTACCACTGCTTTATACCTGGTAGAACCTTGGCTTGCACAGTTAATGGGATCTGTGTTGAAGAATCCCTGCCCCCAGCGAGTACGATGAGACTTCTGCTGTCTTTAGCGTTGGCTCACTCTCCAGCCTTTGAGCATTTGTCCGACTTCCATGGAGCGGAGCTAGCTCCAAGGTGACCTGCACTGAGTCTGCCCCTCCAAGTCCTGCCGATGAACCAAGCTACCTGGTCTGCTATTGATTGTAATGCAGGAACCCACTTGGCTCAAGAGCCAGATGACTGAGGCCATGACAGAGAGTTGACTCATTTCTGACACCCCACTGCCAAGCACGTCACCTTGGAGTTAACACAGCCCACAGGGAAGGAGCATTGATAAATGCAGAACAGCTAGAGGCTGAGAAAACACCTTTGAAGCAGCAATCTTATCATAATCAGCAGGAGTCACACCTCCAGAAGAGGAGAAAGATAAAGAATTGGCAACAAAAAAATGTTCCCGAAATGTTGCTGATAGGTCACTGCTCACCAACAGCACCACCATTTACTCTGCAAACACCCACCTCTTGGAACATTGCTTTGCCACAAACCAATCAATTATTTTCCCAGAGAAGAATATATATCGGCCTAGAAACAAAGCATACAGACAAAAGGCAAAGGAAAAAAAATTACCTTTAAGACCACCTGCTTTCCCAACATAAGAGAAAGCAAACAAACATTTCAGAGTCATCAGGTTCAAACAATAGTGAACGATTGCCTGGATTAGCTGGAGGGAGGGAGAGAGAGAGAGAGAGAGAGAGTTGATCAGTCATTAAAACATGATATTCAGCAAACACCTCCCTGCTTTGGGTCCATTCTGTCCCGTTCTCTGAAAAAGCATCCTGCAGTACCCCCTAATCCACCCCCCCCCCCCCCCCACCCCCCGACTCCACCTTTCCCCCCTACCTTTAAAGCTAGTCTTAAAACATTCATTTTCATCCATGTTTTTGGTCACCTTCTCTCGTCTTCCTCTCCCCCACTTTCCTCAGCTCACCTCTCTCCTAGCTCAGGCAACTGGTTGACTCTGAGAAGCATTGTGAGATGTCCACTGATGTGAAATACACTACATAAACGTAGAATTGATGGCTTTCTCATACTAAGAAATTTATTCCAGTAGCAATTGTCGAATTACCAAGAGACACACATATATTTGGTGGAGGACAATACATGGCAGAAGACTAGTTTTTCTCCAACTCAGCAAGCTCATGTTGTAATAAGGTTTTCAGACAATTTCATATTATTTATTGGCAGAAGAACCAGAGTGGAGATGGGATTTTTAAAAATAAACGTAGCGAGTTGTTACGATCTGGAATGCACTGCCTGAAAGGGCGGTGGAAGCAGATTCAATAATAACTTTCAAAAGGGAATTGGAGAGATAAATGAAAAGAAAAAAAATTGCAAAGCTATGGGGAAAGAGCAGGGCTAATTGGACAGCTCTTTCAAAGAACCAGCACAGGCATGATGAACCAAATGGCCTCCTTCTGTGCTGTAATATTCTATCTTTCTCAAAACAGTCTTTCCATCATAGAATCAAACGTCAAATAAGTGTCCTCTCAGTATCTAGCAACTTGTTGGTATCCCATTCTAGCTATCGAATACTCTCGGTGTTTGAGACTCTCAAACTCAAGATCATGGCAAAATATACAATCAAGTTAATTGACTGTATATTTCGCCCACAAAATACAGTCAATTCACTTTACAGTATATTCTGTGAAGCGCTTTGAGACGTCTCGAAGACATAAGGCGCTATATCAAATGCAAGGATTATTATTATTATCATCATCACCACCACAAGAACAGTTTGTAGGGTGCCCATTCCTTCTCATCCTTACAGAGTACCCACAATATTGCCTTCTTTCTACAGCATCCACGCTCTCGAACTCCATCCTGGAGTCCCTCCAACTCGCTTACTCCATCACCTCATTCAAGGTCAGTCTCAAGATCATCCTTTTGACTGTACTTTTGGTCACTTTCTATTCCCCACCATCCCCATCAGGTGCCCAGTCAGGACTATTAAGTGCCTCAGGACATCCTCTTGATGTGAGAGGCATTATACAAACGTAAACATGTATTGTGCCAAACCATTTCTTAAAATGACTTGAGTGCCTCGGCCTCAGTCAGCCTTTCTAATGATTGATTCCAGCTGTTCATTAGAGAGAATACTTCACGTCATCAAATCAAACATTTCCTGATACGCCCCTAAACTTCACCTCATGTCCGGCTGCCTTGGCATTCTTGAAAGTGAAGTTCAGCATGAAACTCACTACAAAAGAAATCTTACTTGACCTGAATTAATTGCTGGCAAACTAGGAAAAGGCACTGGTGATTTAAAGCTTCAAATTTCTAACCATTAGCAAGAAGTAGACCTACATTTAATAAAAGGCATTTGTTCCCTACCCCTGGCCCGTCTCCCCCATCTCCTCCACAGCTCATTGGCTTCCCAGTCTTAGTCAATTCTGCTTTGAAACAGATTGAATGAGGTGCTTGTACAGAAACGGAGGCAGAACACAACCCCTTTCCTGTAAGGAAGCAGTTGCCTCTTGCTCGCAGGGTGAAACCAGTGACTTAGTGGGTGCAAAATCACACCAAATCTCAGCCCCTCTGTTGTGCAATAGGCCTGTGCGGCAAAACTCTATAACAATCCTTATGTTTCATATTGCCCCTTTCACATCGGGAGGACATCTCCAAAGCCCTTCACAGAATTTACTGTAAAGTATTGCGACTGTTGTATTTTGTATCCAGGGCCTTGGTACATCCTCCCAATATGAAATACAATCTGTTGTTGCTGTTGACACAGATAGATTTCTGTTAGAAAATGATATCTTGGAATACAATATGTAGTTTGGGACCCGACATGTCAAGCGACTGCCAAGATGGTGGAAGGCGAACTGGATGGACTTTGGTCTTCTTTCGTCTAGCAAATTCTTATGGTCTTATTGGTAGGCAAACACGGCAGCCAATTTGCACACAGCAACATCCTACAAACTGCCATGAAGTATTATTGGTGGGAATCTACTTCACCCACAACAATGTAACTGGGAAATGTTCCATCTAAAACAGAGCAAAAATGGAAAAACTACACAGGTAGAGATTTTAATGCCGATGTTAGTTTTCCCCGATTTACCCTTTTTGCATCTTCTTCCTTGGCCTGTCTCAGCCCAAAGTAGAAGACACGAAAGTCTTTACAGTACACGAGGAGCTTCTCAGGAATCTTGTTCTTTATAGCTCCAGGTAGCAGTGGCTTCTTCTTCTCATCATACACTTCACAACAGGGAAAAACAAAACACACAGTCAGTCATGATCCTCTATTGAAGCAAAGGAACATCATGTAGGCAATATGTTAGTAAGTAGTAAATAAGCAACTTACTTCACTAGTACTGTAAGCCGGCAAGCCACTTGTTTATTAATAATAACTTGCATTTGATATAGTGCCTTATCACATCAAAGCACTTCACAGAATATACTGTAAAGTGGATTGATGGTGTATTTTGTGGATGAAACACAGCAGTGTCCCACAAACAGTCATGGATTGAGTGACCAATTGTTTTTTAATTTTTGAAGGGATTATTATCCACAGAAAGTGATCTGCCAATCGACTAGCCACTGTATTGTTACTTACTGCTAAATAAAACTGAGGCATGTGAATTAAGGAAAATTTTCCTTAAGATTTCACCAATACGCTACAGGACTCCATGTTTGGAAGTTTTTTTGATGTTTTAATTTGTGAATTTAGTCTGGACCATACCATTTTACACCACACACACTAAATAATAATAATCCTTGCATTTGATATAGCACCTTAAATAGTCACAAATCTTCATACTACATCCAATTACAGCAGATACATCACAACAAATAAAGTTACTACAGTTTGGTTTCCTGCTTACATTACCTCCAAACAGTTGGTCCACACAGTGCAGGGAAATGTCATTTTCGCCCATCAGTTTATTTCTAAAAGGCTGCTCCTGGAACAATGCAAAATAAAATGAAGCCCAATTAGATTTTGAGAAGGTATTTGAAAGAATCAAAAAAAAACTAGTTGCATTTGATATGACTTTTTAATCACATCGTCAAGGCACCTCAAAGCCATTCACAGAATTTTACTGTGAAATGTACCGACTGTGTATTTGTAGGCGAACTCAGCAACCAATTTGCCCACTGTAATATTCCAAAAATAGCCGTGAAACGAATGTGAATTTTATTTGGGGGATTGCTGGTCAGGTCGCTGGGAGAAACTCCCTTCTTTCAAATACTGTTGTGACATGGGATCTTTAACATCCACCTGCACAAATAGACTGGGCCCCGGTTTAATGCCTGATCTGCAGGTTGCCACCTTCTACATTGTACTATTCAAGAGCAGAATATGGACAGACAGAATTCATTAATAAAAATCCTTGCATTGTAATAGCGCTTTATCATGTTACTGACAGCTTCACAGGTTATATAGTAAAGTGGAATGGCTGTATATTGCGTGCAAATATTAAAAGGTCCCAAGTACTTCAATGATAATGTATCGCTTAACAGAACCTGTAGCACTAGGTTTAAAATGGAAACTACAACCAATTGATAAGCCACTGCTTTCTTCAGATCAACGATTTTTTGAAACAGCAACACTCAACTTGCATTTATAAAAAAAACTCAATTGTAGAGGATGGGAAATGAATGCAAGAAAGAGAGAGAGAAAGAAATTTGATCCAGACAATAGACAAACAACAACATGCACAGCAGGGCAGCCCAAGAGGGCAGGGCACAGCCAATATCAATCTTTTCCTGTTTATCTTTGGTTAATGACCTGATATAGATCAAATGCAAAAAGCATCATATGGTGAAATAATTTCGAGAAGTCAGGGTAGGGGTGGAGACTGCAGTCAGTCACATAACCATTGGTCACAGTCATATACCTAAGTAAAGGAGGGGCATAGACACAGGGAGTCAACCACCATGATAATAATCCTTGCATTTGGTATAGCACTTTATCACATGGGAAGGACGTCTCAAAGCCCTTCATAGGATTTACTGTGAAACAAGGTGACTGTATTTGTCGGCAATTGCACGCAGTAATGTCCCACAAACAACAATTGACTCTCTTTTTATTTGGGGGATTGTTGGCGAGGACATCGGGAGAAAATCCCTTGTCTTTTCGAATAGCATCATGAGATCTTTAACATCCACCTGGACAGGCCGATGGGACCTCGGTTTAACGTCTCATCCAAAGGACGGCACGTCCGACAATGCAATATGCCCCCAGCGCTGCATTAGAGTGTCAGCTTAGACCATGTGATTCCAAGTCCCAACTCGGGGCTCAAACCCACAACCTTCTGACTCAGGCGAGAGTGTTTACCACTGAGCCAAGCTGACGTGATCTGAAGAGAGAGACAAGGGGCAATGGGCGTTCTCTCCAAAAACAACACAGGATATCCGGGAAGATTCCCAGCCACCCTTACCAGATCATCCAGCAACTGCTCCGTACTTTGAAAGGAAATCTTGAAATTCGTGCAGACCAGTTTTCCATAGAATCCCCTCTGTAACAACGCATCCTCTCGGGGGTACTTCATTACAGTGTTTGCTTCACAGATAATAAGTTCACCTGTGTTTGGAAGTGAGAGAGAGAGGGCACAAAACGTTACTCAGACTGATGTGTGAATCATCTCTGTATGTACAATTTATAATAAATATTGACGATGCATTGTATCTTTCAGATTTACTACAAATTGCAGGGTTTATTTTGCTGCATGTTCAAAACGTATATTTTACACGTAGCGACAATCCCCTTCTTACAAAATAAACCAGATTTTATCGTCGCTGAGATGATTTCAGTGCTTTTTTTAAATTAACCTACCGCGCACTTTATTATGCGCTTGCTACATGACCTACCTAGATTTAGATCTCAATTCTATTGTGTGTGCGTGGAAGATGCCGTCATTTAAAACTAAGCCCCATCCACACCACTACAGGCTTGAGATCCATAAAGCCATTGGTGCATTCACAAAGTGGAACATCCACTCTTTAAACCAATTTTGCAGCAGGTTATATATAATAACAACATGTGATATAGCTCCTTATCACGACTTTGAGACACCTCAAAGCATTTCAAAGAATATACTGTAAAGTGAATAGACTGTATATTTTTGTGGGCAAAACGCGGCAGCCAATTGCACACGGCAGTGTTCACAAACGGACCTGGATTGAAGTGAACAATATTTTTTGGGAAAGAATTATTACCCCTGGAAAGCGATCCATCAATTAACCAATAATCAGGCTCCTACTTACTGCTAGGTAAACAGAGGCGTGTGGAGAAAGGAAACTTGCCCAACGTTTCGCCCTATTGGTATTCAAACCCAGGTCACTCGCTTGCAAGGCGAGTGCTCTAACCACTGAGCTACAGGACTCAAGATATCACACCCTTGGGAGATGCCTCCCATGTGGCTCTTGGATGCCAAGCTGCATAAAGGCAGGCAGTGTAACTGTAAAGTGTATTTTCTGTGTTTTGTAGGCAAATAATAATAACATTTGATATAGCATCTCATCACATCATTGAGTTGTCTCAAAGAGCTTCGCACAATTTACTGTAAAATGAATTGACTATATTTTTTGGGTCAAATGCAGCAGCCAATTGCATCCAGCAGCATTCCACAAACAGTCGTGGATTGCGTGACCAAATTATTATAATTTTTTTTTGAAGGTTTTATTGCTCCCCGATAGCGATCCTCCAAATGACTAACAACCGAATACCTACTTATTGCGATGTAAACAGAGGCATGTGGAGTAACGAAACTTGCTGAAGGTTTTGTCCCACCCAGGAATGCAGCGGTCAATTTGCACATAGCAACATCTGATAAACTCCTCTCTCATTTCGAATCATCATGGAATCTTTACTGTCCACCCAAACAGGCAGACAGAACCTCGGCTTAACATCTCATCTGCCTCCAGCACTGCACTGGAATGTCAGTCTAGTCTGTGAGCTCAAAATCCCAATATGGGTCACAAATCCACAACCTTCTGATCCAGAAGTGAGAATACCACCTCAACCAGGCTAATGCCCAATGTCTCATCACCTGCAAATGTCAAGTATGAAGGCTGCTCCAAGAGAATAAACTGAATGACATTTGATTATTGAACACCAGTTTCACTACTGCTCAAAATGTGGTTGTGACAGAAATGGATTGAACCTTTATTGAACCACACTGGCAGGAATGCAGTATTCATTGTACCAGCCTCAGGCACTGGGAGTTGTGCATTTTTCTTGGACTACACAATACCAGTAGCGTTCAACCTGACAGACTGCCAGTGCTCTTATGGGCATCTGCATAAGGGAAGTCCATAGGAGTTGCCCATAGAATATCAACACTGAGTTGTATTCAGAGGAGGATAAAGTTGAAGGAATTAAGTGTGAAATTTCCTTTGGCGGAAATATAGTGTGGTGTTCCCAGGATAGTGTCAGATCAGGTTTTGCTGGTTTACTGGATCACATGAACCCCTCAGGCTGAAACCCAAACTAGTAATAACGCAGTTTTTCAAGACGCAAGCTTCAGAAAAGGCTCAGACAGAGGGTACATGGAAATTAAGATTACACCCTCCTAATTCTTATGTTCTTATGGCAACCGGTAATGGCATATCATCAAGGATAGGTCTCCGGCAACTCCCTCACATAAATCTTGAAACCAACGGAGCTCACATAAAGAACCAGTCGGCAGAACAATACAAAGAAGGAAACTGCTATGATAGGCATCCGAGCTAGCTGGGTTCAGTGTGGTTTTTAAAATAGCGTGAGTGATCCACGCTGTGAGAGGGAATGGATTTTGCAAGTAATAATAATAACCCTTGCATTTGATATAGCGCCTTATCATGTCTTCGAGACGTCTCAAAGCGCTTCACAGAATATACTATAAAGCATATATTTTTGTGGGCGAAATGCAGCAGCCAACTGCGCACAACAGTGTCTCACAAACAGTCGTGCATTGAGGGAACAATTTTTTTGTCAAAACGGCTCAAAACTGCATTTTATAGGCAACACTGGAGCGAATTTGTACACAGTCAACATCTCACAAACAGCCAAGATGCGAGTGACCAATTTTATCTGGAGGATCGCTGGTCAGGGCAACAGGACAATACTTCCTTCTATCTTTCAAAGAGTACCTAAGGATCTTTAACATCCACCTAAACGTGCAATGTTAGTGAAGAACCAATAGTCTCAATTACTTTTTTCTAGATGAGCAACTCTCCCGACTTATAGACCAGAAGGTTAAAAGGTTGCATTACCAGCCTATGCTGACATAGCCGTTCTCAACTTCCCTAAGAGTGTAACAGACTTGAAAGCACATTCAAACCTCAAACAGAAGCAACTCTGTTATGTAGTTTGTGTAACTAATTTGAAGTACATTATAAATAGCAGCTGCTTTTATTTTCGCCGGAACAATATCAAGCTCAGTCTTTCTGCTTTTACCAAAACACAAAATTCCTAAACAGTACTTATGCAGCATAACATTTTAAACAGACAGCAGTAAAGTAGATATTTTGCACATTTTTTATTAAGAAAAACTCTTCATAAATGTATCCTTATTATTCTAAATCATTGCAACATGCCAAAGCAACCTCACAAAGATGTGTTTCACATTTTAATGGGCTTCTGATCAAGCAAGTTTTAATTGTTTTTCCTACCTACAATATAAATAGCCTTGGCAAGTTTCCGAATTTAAACTTTGTTTAAAAAAAGAAATTGCTCGGTCGGGTGTTTGTGCACAGCAATGTTCCACAAGCAGCAGTGAAGTGAAGTGAACGACCAATTTTATCTGGAGGATTGTTGGCCAGGAAGGTCACGGGGAGAGAAATTCCCTTCCCTTTTTGAACCGTGCCATTGGGATATTACGATTCACCAGAATGTTTAAATTAAGTTCCATTGTTCGTTTTATTTAAAATAAAAATTTTTCTTTTAAAGAAACGTTTTTAAAAACACAAAAATAGTCACCATCTAATGTCATTAAGTCGGCACAGATAGGCTGAAAATCCTTCAAAATTGCTTCATTTGAAAATGCACCATCTAAAGAGAATCCCAGCCTCGACGAACCATCTCAAATAATAATAATCCTTGCATTTGATATAGTGCCTCATTACATCATTGAGACATCTCAAAGTACATCATAGAATATACCGTAAAGTGAATTGACTACATATTTTGTGGGCGAAACGAGGCAGCCAATTGTGCACAGCAGTGTCCCACAAACAGTCATGGATTGAGAGACCAATTTTTTTTTGAAGGAATTATTAACCCCTGGAAAACCGATCTTCCAATCGACTAAGAACCGGGTTCCCACTTACTGCTATGTAAACAGAGGCATGTGGAGAAAGGAAATTTGCCCAATGTTTCGTCCTGCCAAGATCTACTAAAACTGGCTCAATTCACTAGTGGAGAAGACAGAAAGTGGAGAGAAGGCATTTGTTACATAGGAGATTTAGTGGAAAAGTTTTTACCTGGTAATAACTGCGGCATCAGCTCTTCCTCTTTTTCTTTCACCTTTATTTCCTGAAAACAAACATTAAGAAGTTGCCGCTCTTTATGTCCAATCAATTCAGGATTATGGAACAAACAAAAATATTAACTGGACATTAAAGTTTTAAAAAATTTCTATTAATTTAAATTCACTTCAGATAATAATCCTATAATAGTTTAATATAATAGAAGTTAACACTTGCATTTGATAGCAACTGTCGCAGGATTTACTGTGACTTGTAGCAACTGTATTTGTAGGCAAATGTGGCAGCCAGTTTGCATATAGCAACATCCCATAAATAGCCATGAAGTGATTGACCCAATTTTTTCTCAGGGATCGTTGGCCAAGACACCGAGAGAAACTCTCCTCTCTCCTCTCTTGTGCCATGGGATCTTTAATGTCCAATTGAACAGGCCGACAGGGCCTCGGTTTAACATCTCATCTGTAGCCTCTAACAAAGCCTTGACTGAACCCGCAAACTTCTGGTTCAGAGGCAAGAGTGGTACCAACCGAGCCAAGTTGGCATCTAAATTCATGGGCACAGAGTGGGGAAGAGAACGTAAAGGCATGTCTTATAATCATTTAAAAAAATACCTTGTGCGCCCAATAACAATTTGCACTAATAGAAGCATTGGTGGAGTCCTGTAGCTCAGTAGTTACAGCACTTGCTTCGATTGTTCGATTCCCGGCAGGGCAAAACGTTGGGCAAGTTTCCTTACTCCACATGCCTCTGTTTACCTAGCAGTAAGTAGGAACCTGGCTATTAGTCGATTGGTGGATCGCTTTGCCGGGGGTAATAATTCCTCAAAAAAAAATTCTTGAATTTCATATTGCGCATTATGTCTTCGAGACATCTCAAAGCACTTGAATATACTGTATTGAGAGGCGATGCTGTGCGCAATTGCTTGCTGCATTTTGCCCACAAAATATACAGTCAATTCACTTTACAGAATCTCTGTGAAGCGCTTTGAGACATCTCGAAGACGCGATAAGGCGCTATAACAAATGCAAGGAATATTATCACTATTGTCAGCTCTGCCAATTGTCAGGAAACTCAAGAGGGAATTAGTTCGCTATTTTACACAAAGCAATTGCAAGTTATGAGAGATTACTGTAAAAAAAAATAAGCTTAGGGACCGCAATGGTCTGCAATGGCCCTGTACGTTCTTGTGGTCAATTGGGAAAAAAATGGTGAAGATTGCAGAACACTGCCAATTAAGTGGGCTGGCAAACTGAATGCCAAGACCTGGCCTGGAACAGGTCTGAGACCTTCAATATTGCCAATATAGTGCTTGTAGCAGCAATTAGCTTGATATCTCCAACTTTTTTTTTAAAAAATGTGGTCAGTCAATCCACGACTGTTTGTGGGACACTGCTGTGTGCAATTTGCTGCCGTGTTTCGCCCACAAAATATACGGTCAATTCACTTTACAGTACATTCTGTGAAGTGCTTTGATACGTCTCGAAGACGTGGCAAGGCGCCATATCAAACGCAAGGATTATTATTATTATTATTGTCTGATGAAGGGAGTCTCGATCAGCGAGGCTTCCAGAGCAGTAGACGGACAATGATCCCAAATTAAAGCAACTTCTTTGAGGGGAATAACCTGAGAGAGTCACTGTAATATTTTGTTTTCAGGGAAATAACCTTGCCCTCCCCACACCCTTCCGGTCCCCCAATTACCTAGGTGTTTAGTTTCTTCAGTCTTAACGTAGACTGAAGAAACTAACCAAAACTAAGGGGCAAAATGGCGAAAAACTCTCCCATCAATGGTACAGCAGAACGAGCGAGGGACATGATGAAACAGGCTGGTCAGTGTTTTGCTGATTTCGCCAATTGTCGGGCAAAATAGACCCGTCTACTGCCTTTCATAGTGAGTTCCAACTGCAGTGGAGCCACATTTACAGCGCGCCATCAGTTTCACTTTTCTACTGAACACTCAACAACAACAGCAAGATTTCATTTATAGAGCGCCTTTCACGTCAGGAGGACGTCCCAAGGCGCTGGACAGTTGGGGAAGGAGGTGAGGAGGGAAGTGCAGTTGCCTCCAGCTCTGCACTGATAGATCGGATACCACAACTTTTTGAAGCAAACGGAGCAGAAAAGTCTGGTCTGCTGAAAGCAGTGAAAGATAAAGTCTGATTGCTGTTTAACCAGTGTTGCACGCACTGCTCAAGGAGCAGTTTTCAGGGTAAGGGGAAACAACAACAAAAAGCATTTTTACAGCATCCCACACAGGGTAGCGTCCCAGCGCAGGTAAATGGGACTGAATGGAATTGTTCTTCAAAAGAGCCAGTGCAGAAATCATGGGCCAAATGGCCTTCTTCTGCACTGTAAATTTCTACAGTCCCATTAAAGACATATTTCGTTGGCCTCCAGAACAATTTGTAAGTAATGTGGTGTGGCTCACGATTACTAATTTTGACTTACGCGAAGAAATTCCGAAAGCTTCCTTTCCACAAATTTGACTGGACACATTCATGTGCATCATTCCCCCAAGTCAGTATAAAAAGACACACACACGCACACACACGCTACACTGTGCAGAATCATAGGAATTGCAGTACGGGAACAGGCATTTAAGCTCATCAAGCCTATATCAGCGTTAGCTAGCTTATCCACCAGAGCCAATTTATTGTCAGGTCATAGTTTCTCAGAGATCCTTGACACACGATTAACCTCTGTGTGGTGGGGCGCGGGGGGGGGGGGGAAGTAATCCAAGGTCTTGTTTGCCTGTTCAGGAGGATGTTAAAGATCCCGTGGCATTCGAAAAGAGAAGGGAGTTCTCTGGGTGTCCTGGCCGATAATCCCCAAGGAGGAAAAAAAATTGTCCATCTGTTTCGTAGTTGTTTGCAGGAGATTACTGTGCAAATTAGAACATGGCTGTGTGCAATTGGCTGCCACATTTTACCCACAAATTATAGTCAATTCATTTTCCAGTATATTCCGTGAAACGCTTTAAAACGTCTCAACCTGATTGTTAGCCGATTGGTTTTTCTGGAGGTAATGATCGCTATAAAAAATAATAATTTGGTCACCCAATCTACAAATTTATGGGACACTGTTGTGCACAATTGGCTGCCGCGCTTCGCCCACAAAATATAGTCTCAACGGCATAAGGCGCTACATCAAATGCAAGGATATTATTATTAATAAATTGGCTGCCATGTTCACCTACAAATATAAAGTAATTTTATAGTTAGCAGCAGTCACCATGAAGTGCTTTGAGATGGTTGACATTGTAGGCATTCCAGAGAACGCAATTTACTCCAAAGAATCTCCAACAAAAGGACATTGATGTCTTCTAATTGTCGGGAAGAAATCTACCGAAGAACAGAGTTGTTGTATGTGGAACAAAACTGAAATTAGCAGATGGGAATTTACAGCAATGTTTTGGAGCTGGGAGGAGCCTATTTGTCACAATGAGGTTTTATTCCTTGTTCTTTGCCCTCCTCCTTGTTGACCAATGAAACATTATCTTTTGGCAACATCTCTATGCAAAGAATACAATTGCTGTCAACCGTGGCAGGACGCACCACTGATCCCATCTGGGTTGTGGTGTCTACTTCTCTAGTCTCCAACAAGCATTACCGCAGCATCGAAACGCCTTTCAAATCCAGATGTCACTGAAACAAAATCCCCCCCCTTCCGCGTCTCCCCAGGCACAACTGAAAACTCCCCAAACCACAACAATCTCATATTAAGGCAAACCATTTTGTGAATTAAGCGGGGCATTTTACACAGTGTTTAAAAGCACGCAAGGTGCCAAAATGTTTTTTTGCAAGACATCCCAGCGCCTTGGGTAATCCTCCTGACGTGAAAGACGCTATACAAATTAAATTTTGTTGCTGTTGTTTGTGCAACTGCCTTACAGAACCTTAGCGCGTGGGAGTCTTGCAACGTATTGGTTAGAGCATTCGCCTCGCAAGCGAGAGGACCTGGGTTCGATTTTCGGGCAGGGAGAAACCGTAGGCAAGTTTCCTTGCTCCACATGTCTCTGTTTACTTAGTTGGAAGTAAGTTGGAACCCAGTTGTTAGTCGATTGGGGATCACTTTTCCAGGGGTAATAATCCCTACAAAAAATAATAATAACATGGTCACCCAATCCACGACTATTTGTGAGACACTCTTTTGCACAATTGACTGCCGCGTTTCGCCCCAAAAATATACAGTTAATTCACTTTGCAATATAATTTGTGAAACGCTTTACTAAATAAAAAAAATCCTTGCATTTGATATAGCACTTTATCATGTAGTTGAGACATCTCAAAGCGCTTCAGACTGAACTGTAAAGTGCAGTGACTGTTTTGTGGGCGAAAGACTTCTTGAATATGTGATAAGGAGCTATATCAAATGCAAGGATTATTATTATATTTATTATTATTAAAAGCATGCAAAATGTTTGTGAGACAACCTTAGCATAAAGTGCTGGAGCAAATGGCACTTCCTGAAATCAAATTGTGGCGATGACATTGGGCTTTTCAACTGCAGATATGTGCCATTCCTCACAGAACTGAAAGTTCATAATGAGTCAGGGGAAAGTTTTAATGGAGCATCAGTTATGGATGTGAGAGAAAGAGAGAGAGAGAATATGCACTTATTAAATGTAGCCCAAGGCCTGCTCAGTATGAAAGAAGCCACTGAAACTTTTACCATTGGTTATTCCTCGAGCAACATGTGTCGAAGTATAAATGTCTTAGACACAGCATAGCCAACACATAACAGACAAACGTATGGATGATGAAAAGTAATCGGATTCTTTTCTCTTTAGATTTATTATTGGTTTCTAAATGGACTTCTTAAACCTACTCGTTGTCATAAGAGGTTTTAAAACAGGCCAATTTGTCTCACCATCGGTGGACAAGCTCTCAGCCTTTCTACTCACAGTCTCTGGAATTGTATCCCAGGGTCCCTCCGACTCACTCCGCTCGCTCCCCATCATCAAAGCCAACCTCAGGATTTGCCTCATGGACCATGTTTTCGGGCATCGTTCTCCCACCCAACCCTCATCAGCTCCCACCCACCTCAGGTGCCCAGCCAGCTGCGTGAAACATCTTCCTGATGTAAAAGGTACCATAAACATGTAAACTGCACCTTAAGACTGTATTGCATTAGGTATGTTGCATTGTTCGGTTGATGATTCTTCCCTTTTCAAATTGGGAAGGAGGGAAAGGAGAACAAAACAGGCAGTGTAATTCAAGCTTGATTTGCTTATACAGGGACAACGTCATGTGTCTTACTCACAACCTCTCTTTAAACTCCTGCCCTTTCACTCCAACAAATCTCCTCCATAACATGCAGCAGTTGCCAGCTAGTGCGATTCCTGCTGACACACTTACGGACGCATCAATTATGCAGTGAAATTTTTATCTGTTCCTGAAAATAATCTTTCACACGGGTCGGTGCGCAAAGAAAACAAGATGTGAAAATAGTCCCCACTGCTCTGAAATTCTCCATGTGCCTGACTCATCTCAAAGTACAGCAAATCGCTGTGTACCCACATAAATCACCTTGTACTTAACAAGTACAGATATAATCATAATATTTCACAGTAAAATCCTGTGCTTTAATGATGTCTTGATACCATGAAGTGCTCCGGAACACTACCCCGTGTGAAGAATGCTATATAAATGCAAGTTGTTGTTATTATCATAAGAAGCTAGATCTAAATGCAAGGATTATTATATTTTACAATCACCAATGCATTTGATAATCTATACACTTGATGCACCTACAAATTCAGTCACTGCACTTCACAGCAAAATTCTGCAAACAGTTTTGAGACATTTCAATAATGTGTTAAGTGCAAGGATTGTTATATTATTATTATTATAGCACCTCTAATATCATGTGACCATGCTTTTATTCCAATCAAATTTTCCAATCAAGGGCCGACCTGATGCCCATATCCAATAAAGAGGTTTCTGGTAGTCAAATTGATAGATATTGCTATATATTTGAAATAGCGTCTTATCCCATCGTTGAGACATCTCAAACCACTTCACAGATTATATTGTAAAGTGGATTGACCATGTATTTTGTGGGCGAAATGTGGCAGCCAGTTGCATACAGCAGTGTCCCCCAAACAGTCGTGGATTGAGTGACCCAATTTTTTTTGGGGGGGTCGGTTGGTGGTGGAGGAATTATTATCCAGGGAAAGTGATCCTCCAATCGACTAACAACTAGGGGAAAAAAAACTCATGTTTCTAAGCTATCTTTGAGATCACAGACTAATCAGCCATCGCAAGCTTGATATTGAAAAGCAGCTCCCCAAAGGCAGGGATAAGGCAGGCAGGGCAGAGGGATTGAATGGACACCTTGCTCCGAGAGCTGGTGCAGACTCAATGGGGGTGAACCTTCTGTGTCGTTCATTTCTACGATTCTAAGGTTTAGCTGAAGAGTTGCATTCCTTCAACAAAAGAGAAAGCATTTTTTAATCTACTATTTGCTAATCTCCATCACTCCATCATTAAATTAAGAACATGTGGAATGAATGCCAGCTACAATTACCTGTGACTGTTATCTTGTGTGTTTATGCAGCACAAACCTAGGCGTGATTTTAAAGTATTATTCGATTTGATAAATGCCATTGGTGGACAGGGTGGCACAGTAACTGTAGCCAAAGGATAGCAGTTATCCTGAACAACTTCTAAATGTAGTTACAAAGGTAAATAAGACTATAAAAAAGACCAATGAGATTTGGGGCTTTATATTCAGAGGAATAGAATATAAAAATGATGTTGAATTTATACAAAACCTTGGTCAGACCACATTTGGAGCATTATGTCCATCTCTGGTCACCTGACAACAAGAAGGATATAGCAGCAATTGAGAGAATACAGCATAAGTTTACTAGGATGATACCAGGGCTGGCAGTTTACTGCTATCAACAACAACAACCACCACCATTTATAAAGCGCCCTTCACGCGGGGTAGTGTCCCTGAGTGCTTGGATATCAGGATAGGGTGGGGTTTCTATAGGAGACATTTAAGAGAAATTTAAGAGGGAACCTAAAGGAGGTGCTTAACAGTATAGGGAAGTTTGAGAAGTTTAGCATAAATAGCCAGTTCCCACTTATTGGGGTATTTGTAAGCAGGGAACACAAGTATAAAATAGTGACTACATTTAGGAGGAACTACTTCATGCAGATAATGTGGAAACCATTGCCCAAACCAGTGGTTGAAACAAAAAGTACACATGCATCTAAGAGGAAGCTAGATGTACACATGAGAGAGAAGGGATCAAAAGGAATTGGGAGGGAGTACAGAGTGGGTTCATACTCCACACTCATGTGGAGTATGAACACTGGCACAGATTTGGGTTGAATGTCCCATTTCTGTGCAGTACAGTCTATGTAAATATTGGTTCAGGGAAGTAAAAATTTCCGGCGATGGGCGAAGACATTCTGAGAATAATAGAAATGTTGAAGTGTTGACAAAGAAGCACTAAAAAGAAACGAGGCCCCCAGTCCAGACAGATTGCGCAATAGGGTGCTTAAGAAGTGGAAAATGAAAGTCACATCCTAGCCAGGGAATGATTGTAAACAAACATGGTGCCTTGGATTGGAAAGAGGTAAATATAATCCCATATTTTATAAAAGGGGTCAAAAGACAACCGAGGTACATGCATAAGATGCACCATGCACACTGCATTTCCTACCAGCAGAAGATCAAATAGTTTAGCGAGTTTAGATGTATATAGTACATAACCATTTTTAAAAAAAAGTTGATTTTTTTTAATCATAGGCTCTGGCACAGTATATTATCCTATTACAATAATAACAATCCTAATATTTGTATAGCATCCTTCAGGTCAGGAAGACATCCCAAAGCGCTTCACAGATAGACTGTAAAGTGGAATGACTGTGTATTTTTTTTTTTGGGGGGGGGGGGCGGTGTAACGCAAGAGTCAATTGCACACAGCAATGTCCCACAAACAGTAGTGGAGTGAGTGACCCATTTTGTTTGGGGGTGGGGGGGGAGGGGGGATTGTTGGCCAGGACACTGGAAGAAAATCAAACTCCCTTTGCTTTTTGAATAAACCAATGGGATCTTTAACATCCACTAAACAGGCAGATGGGACCCGGGTTAATGCCGTCCTTATCCATGGTTTTATTCTACATTACACATGGTCCTACAAGCCAAACTCCAGGAAAATCCTAAGGGAGCTCAGCGCCCTGCTTTCCTGTGGTATGAAGGGAGTCTGGATTGTCAGTACAATAAATTACCACCAGGCAATGGGAGAAGATGTCATTGCTGGGGGGTGGGGGGGGGGGGGGGAGAGAAGGGAGGGGAATTGCCTCATGACTGGGTTTGTACCCACATTCTTAGGACATTTTCCTTTCACTCCTCTCCCGGCTTCTCCCCCTCCCTTCAAATCAAAGAGGGCGAAAGGTATTATTCAGATGGTTTTTTTTGTGAAGGATATCCTCCGACCTAATTTGAATGAGAAACCTCAGTGGCAGCTGCAGGAAGGAAGAAAAGCTGGTCACCCCCTCCCTCCCTCCCTCTCTCTCTACCCACCCACCCACACCCATACCCAGGCCTGTGAGCCAACGCCTGGCACAGGGTCTCTGCAAACACCGGCGGTAATGCCAGGGGGGGCACCGCGCCCATTCCGCAGGTTTCCTTTCACTCACTCTCACTGGAGAGGAGAGATTTCATGCCAAACAGCAAACAAAAGCCGGGCGGGCGGGTGGGCGGGCGGTCAGGGCAAGTCAGGGCTTTTTTTAAAAAAAATATTTATATTCAAAAAATAAGAACAGAAGGGATAAAGGAATAACAACACCCACCTCTGCCTCCCTCCCTCCCTCCCTCACTAACCAGAGAGAGAGATCAATGCAACAAAACCAAGGTATTGGGTCAGGTTCAGTCAATGTTTTTTTAAAAAAGAAAAGAAAAAACAAATAAAAACACAAGGAATAAAAACCACTCACCTCTGGAGAGACGTACGAGACGAAGGAGGGTTTAGCAGTTTTCCCACTGCCAGACCCCAGACTCAGCATTGTCCCTGCGCTCCCCCCACTGTGTGTGAGTCTCTGGGTTACTCTGTAGCCACCCCCCGTGTGTGTGAGCGTTACTCTGTACCCACCCCGTGTGAGTGTGAGCGTTACTCTGTACCCACCCCGTGTGTGTGTGTTGCTCTGTACCCCCCCCCCCGTGTGAGTGTGTGTGTGTGTTACTCTGTAGCCCACCGTGTGTGTTACTCTGTACCCACCCCGTGTGTGTGTGTTACTCTGTACCCACCCCCCGTGTGTGTGTGTTACTCTGTACCCACCCCCCCGTGTGTGTGTGTTACTCTGTACCCACCCCCGTGTGTGAGGGTTACTCTGTACCCACCCCCCGTGTGTGAGGGTTACTCTGTACCCACCCCGTGTGTGTGTGTTACTCTGTACCCACCCCGTGTGTGTGTGTTACTCTGTACCCACCCCGTGTGTGTGTGTTACTCTGTACCCACCCCCCGTGTGTGTGTGTGTGTTACTCTGTACCCAGTCCGTGTGTGTTACTCTGTACCCACCCCCTGGGTGTGTGTTACTCTGTACCCCGTGTGTGAGGGTTACTCTGTACCCACCCCCTGTGTGTGTGAGGGTTACTCTGTACCCCCCCTGTGTGTGTGAGGGTTACTCTGTACCCTTGTGTGAGTGCTCTGTACCCCCAGTGTGTGTGTGAGTGAGTGCTGCTCTGTACCCCTGTGTGTGTGAGTGCTCTGTACCCCCAGTGTGTGTGTGAGTGAGTGAGTGCTGCTCTGTACCCCCAGTGTGTGTGTGTGTGAGTGAGTGCTGCTCTGTACCCCCAGTGTGTGTGTGTGTGAGTGCTCTGTACCCCCAGTGTGTGTGTGTGAGTGATGCTCTGTACCCCCAGTGTGTGTGTGAGTGAGTGAGTGCTGCTCTGTACCCCCAGTGTGTGTGTGTGTGTGAGTGCTCTGTACCCCCAGTGTGTGAGTGAGTGTGTGAGTGTTGCTCTACAGTCAGAGCTCAGGCGGCAGCGACTCCACTTGTATCCGTCTCCTCTCCCTCTCGCCTCCCATTGGCGGCCCAGTCGTCGCAACGTTCCACTTCGCGACACACTCGCCGCCTGATTGGCCGACTCGCCCGTCAATCACCCCACCCACGGCTCGGCCCCGCCCACCCCCTGTGAGTCTTCCTTTTAACCCCTTTCCCTCCAGTTGAGGACCTGAAGGAGTGGTCAGTGAGTGACTCCTCTCTCCCCCCAGTGACTGCTCTCGCACCCCCAGCCCCAGTGCAGCTGCAGGTTTGAGTGATCCAGGCAGGTCCTCAGCAGTCCAGGACACTGCTGATGGCAGCCCAGGACTTGGCCGGGCAGACCGGTCACTGCGAGCACAGATGCTCCACCTTCAGCTCCTGTTAATAATAATAATAATAATAATAATCCTTGCATTTGATATAGCGCTTTTCACGTCGGGAGGACGTCCCAAAGCGCTTCACAGAACACACTGTAAAGTGAATTGACTGTATATTTGTGGGTGAACGCGGCAGCCAATTGCGCACAGCAATGTCCCACAAACAGTCGTGGATTGAAAATGACCAATATATTATTGTTTTTTGGTTTTGGAGGGATTATTATTAGGCTCCGTGTGGAGTAAGGAAACTTGCCCAAGGTTTCGCCCTCTGCCTGGAATTGAACTCAGGTCTCTCGCTGGCAAAGCGAGTGCTCTAACCACTGAGCTACGGGACTCCACAGTTAACAGTTAACCCCGCAAGCCCCAAAGGATAAGGTGGTCCGAGCTGGACAAGCAGCGGGAAAGCTCGCCAGGCAACGCTGTCAATGCCCGCTATGCGGCTTTAGCTGGTTAGGCTCCGGCAAGAGGACCCGGGTTCGATTCCCGGGCAGAGCAAAACGTTACGCAATTTTCCTGACGCGACGCACCTCCATTTACATAGCAGTAACTAGGAATCTGGATGTTAGTCGATTGGCGGATCGCTTTTCTGGGGATAAAAATAATCCCTTAATAAAAATGATCATAATTTGGTCACACACTCCACGACTGTTCGTCAACACGCAATTGACTGCCGCGCTTCACCCACAAAATAGTCAATTCACTTTGCAGTACATTCTCAGACGCGATAAGGTGCTATATCAATGCAAGGATTATTATTATTAATATTTACCCACGAAAGTTAGGCCAGAATCCTTATCAGGAACCCTCTGCTGTGTGCAGAAAATTTCACAACACTGCAACACCTCAAGACAATTTCTTTCATTTCAAAATCTTTTTTAAAATAGGAATTTAGCAATACTTTTGTGTTTTAAAAATGTAAATTTCCCTTCCCAAATACCCCCCTCCAAATTTCTTAATCACATCCAAAAACATTTTTTAAAAATCAACACGACTCAAAACATTGTGGGAGGAAAGAGGTTTAAAGATTAACATTTTATGAAATCTAATAATCACTGTAATATTTGACATTTAGATATAAAATACATACCAAGATTGGGAACAAATTATGGATAAAGACATCAATTCACTTTACAGTATATTCTGTGAAGCACTTTGAAACATCTTGGGGATGTGATAAGGCGCGACATCAAATGCAAGGATTATTATTAAGTGCAGGAACAGTGTGTAAATAAATAACGTCAAAGGATGGAACAGATCCAAAAAAATAAAAAAAACTAGAGATTGCTGTGTGCAAACTGGCTGACGTGTTTCGCGCACAAAATATACAGCCAATCCACATTACGGTGTGTCCTGTGAAGGAAATGCTTTGAGACATCTCAATGACATGATAAGGTGCTATATCAAATGCAAGGATTATTATTATTATTATTACCTCTCACTTGGTAGCACCCTCAGCTCTGCGTCAGAGGTCCTGCCATGGGGACTCAAGTTCATATTCCAGGGAAATACTAGTTAAGCATTAATAAGCCTGGTAACATTCCTACATAAATGGTAACCATTTGGTTGAGTCACTGAAGAGTGACATCAGTGCTCCAGGGTTACTGTGGGGGAAACATTAACCAGGAATACTGCTGATGCTATCCAAGTTTGAATTTCAGTCTATGTATAAGTAGTTTCAGTGGGACAGTCTCAGAAGAGGAGAGAATGTAATGAGAGGGAAACAATAAACATTCTTTATTTTGCTCTCGGAAGAACTACACCAACGTTCATTACAACAATGCCTTGTATTTATTATAGCCCTCTTCCTGCAGGGTACCGTCTCGGAATACTTAACAGTGGGGGAGCTTGACACCAAGCCGAGGGGAAGGTCACTGTAAGCACGATTGAAGAGGAAAATCTTCAGACATGATCTGAAAAAGGAGGGGCTAAGGCAGAGGGATTGAGAGAGGAAGTTCCAAAGTTTCAGGGTGTAGTGGCTGAAAGTATGGTTGTCGATGGTGGAGCGGAAGGAACAAGGGACAAGCAGGAGGCTGGAGTCATCTAAGTGGAGGTGGCGGATGGTGGAGAGGGGAGTAAGCCAGTCGGAAAGGTAGGGAAGTGCTAGAGCATGACGGGATTTGTAGTGTGAGGATTGGTGTGATGGGAGTACGGAGTTTAGAGTGGATGATTATATGGGCAGTGGAGTTCTGAAATAGTTGGATTTTGTGGACAGTAGAGCGAGAGAGATCAGTGAAGAGGGCATTGGAATAGTTGAGGCGGGAAGTAACTAAAGCATGGATGAGCGTATTGACTGCATTGGGTGTGAGGTACGTTCGGAGGTGACAATATGACGGAAAGCGGTGTTGGTTAGGGACCAGATGTGGGGTCGGAAGGACAGCTGGGGATCGAACCTTACACCTAGGTTACATACAGGTTTGATAAGTATTAGGGAAAGTCCGGGGAGGTTGAGGAAGTCAGAACTGCAGGAGAGAAGACATTGACAGGAGCCAAGGAGTATGGCTTCTCATTAACATTCAGCCGCAGGTTTAGGATTTTGGAGGTCTTGATGACGTCCGACAGAACATCAGTGGACCTGGAGTCTCAGCTGGATGAGGAAAGTAGATTTGGGTATCATCCGCATACATGGGGAAGTTTACCCTGTGTCTGCAGATGACGTCGGCAAGAGAGAGCATGTAAATGAGGAAAAGAAACATGGAGCCTTTATTACTGCGCAGGGGCAGGAAGAAAAACATCTCAGAAGAGGAGCACATAGTCCCAGGTCACACTTTTACATGTCTGCAACAGTCTCAGGTATTCTATTACGTTGGAGAGCCAGCAGAGCTGGAGGCGTCTTTAACCAACAACACTCATGGTTTGTCTGTGTGTGTGTTGTCAGGAATGGATCAGAGAACACAGAATCCCATGTTGTGCAGCTGTTTTCAAGATCAGTCTTGACAGAAGGCAAATCATTTTTCTCTTCCAAAGTTTTTTTTTTGCAGATTCAGATTCTGATCCGAAGCTATGCAAGTCTCTGCACTACCACATGCCCCTTAATGTCAGTGTGTTGTGTTAGTAATTTGTGGCCATAAGGACTGTCCCTAAAATTCAAACCCCTTTTAATGCCCCTATCCTTCCTTATTGATTCAACAATGCATTATATTACAATGCAGCCAGTTCACAATACAAAAAATATCACCTGAATCCAGATTTATGTTGACTGAGAAGTTTCTGATTAGCACTTATGGATTAAATTGCACTAGTTATTGTAGAGCAGTTTCGCTCACAAAATATAGTCAATTCATTTTACAGTATATTCTATGAAGCGCTCTGAGATACAAAATACAAAAAATATTTGTACAGCACCTTTCACATCGGGAGGACATCCTAAGGCGCTGGTTGTCTTGAAGACCTGTTAAGGCACTAAATCAAATGCAAGGATTATTATTATTAATGAATAGGGTTAACGAATAGGGTTGTCCTAGATAAGCAAGAGATGAGTGTTCACAATGATAATAGGTTTTAGCTGTTGTGCTCCAGGAACACAATCCACCCTCTGGGATCCCAAGACTTGACCTTTGCCTAATTACCTTTGCCTTGGATTAGATAAACAGGGTGTGTCCCTCGAGGGAAATAGTGAATATTCTATAATCAAACAGAAACCAAACTGTATGTGGAGCTCTCGATTGTTTAGTTTGGAATTAAGACTCTCTTAACTATGGGTTTGCACGTGTATCAGACACCACTCAGAATAAAAATAACTCATTGTGTGAGACATTTTGACATTATCAAATCAAGTGTGTTTATCCCTTCATTCTCCTAGTTTCTCCAGTGTAAAGGACGCTCCATCAAATGCAAGTTGTTGGTGGTGGTAGTTTGTTCGAAGTTATAAGTGGAGAGAAAACAGGAGTGTATGACTGACCAGTAAAGGTTAGATGGCACTAAAGAAAAAAAAAGCTATGTGGAGAGGTACAGGAGAAAGAAATTAAATAGTAGAAGGAACTCAGATTATAAACTCATCCTTCTGGTCTGCCCTGGCCAGTCCTGCCGATAAGCCAGGCTGACTGATCTGTCATCAGAGTCCTGCAGACCTGCCTCGCTCAGGAACCACACTACCAACTTTGCCACAGGGAGTGGATTCAATTCTGACATTCCTTTGACAAGCACATCATGTCAGAGCCACCTCACTTACCATCTTCCTCCCACCCCCCAGGACTGTAACAAACATTAGCACAGAATGTCCCTCTAGTTTTACTTTTTTTTTTAAAAAAAAGGTACGTGGAGTATGGTTTGCCTTTCTGTATAAAATCCTGAAATAGCAGCAGCAAAGATATATCAGTTAATTCCTGCTAACATTATGTCTGTTAAGCACCCCCCCTACCTCTCTGACCTCTCTCCTCAAAACAGTACCCGTTGCCTTCGTTCCTCTGGGTCTGGCCTCCTCCTCGTCCCCCGCTCCACCCTCGGCGACTGTGCCTTCAGCCACTGTGCCCCGAGGGTCTGGAACTGCCTTCCTCACTCCCTTCGTCTCGCTCCCTCCCTTCCCATTTTCAGGTCTCTGCTGAAGACCTTTCTTTTCGACCGCGCCTTTGGTCACCTTCCTCCGCTTCCCCCCGGCTCGGTCCCGGGATCCATTACTGTAAAGCGCTCTGATATGCCGTCCAGCGTGGAGGACTCTATATAAATCCAAGTTATTGTTGTAATTCTATTATTATAAATAAAGGATGAGTACACACACACCCAGACATACACAGAGTGAAACTGACACTAGTTTCCTCAAGGGATCATTTGTTTAACATTTTACTAAACTCTACAGATTGAATGTACGTATTTACACTGAATTAAACTAAATACAAGTACTGTACAAGCCACCCTTTTTCCAAATGGTCAAACAAAGTCTTGCAAATGTGAATCTCTCTTATCTCTAAAGCTATTCCAGCCAATAGAACATTATCATTTAACACCAAGATTTTTTTTAAAATAAATTTATTAAAAAAAATCTTTTAATAGATTACATTCTAGTGGCTGGAATAGCTTTAGAGATGAGAAGGTTCATGTTTACGAGACTTGGTTTAGCCACTTGGGGAAAAGATGGCTCGTGTGTGCATTTTGATATTTCCGGATGAAACAAAATCAGGTCAAACTTCATCAAGTCAGTCCAAAGATTTGAATACAAACTAAAAAAATTTAAAGTCTTCATTGCAATTTTTCTGCCTTTTTCATAAGTACTTGGGCTGAATGAGCTGAACTAAACAACAACTTGCATTTGTATAGTGCCCCCCACACATGGTAGTGTCCCAGAGCACTTTAACAGAGAGAGGATGTGCAAACATTGCTCCGTGGCTCGCTCCAAAGATACCCATTGGTTAGACTAAATAATTCTATGCATAGCTGTATTTGACAATGTGCCCAAGATAGCCAGCTTGTGACCTGGAAGAAACTCGAGTCTGAGTATAATAATAATATCAGTCAAGTATCAGTATTGAGTATCAGTCAAGACCAAGATAGTGACCTTAGCACAACATTCAATCCAACTTGGGAAACAGTGCTGGTACATAAACAAACCTTGATATGACAACTTTAAACTGGGCACGTCAAGCTTAGTAAAGTTAGACTAGGACAGGGGAAAAAGCACAAGGTTAAGGTTATATCAGCTGAGGATAAATGGGCATCCTTCAAAAATACTGTGTGGAGCATGCATAAGGGAAGCAAACAGGGTAAATGAAATAAAAATGCTCAAATGGATGAATAGGGATTTTTAAAAAAGATTTACACAACTTTACGGAACAAGGAACTCCCACCACACACTGATAAACACGTTAATGCCTGTAATGTCTTATATGGCTGAGAAATGAAATTCAAAGCCTTCCAAGCAGCTTCATAGTAGTGTAGCCTCAATCAGAACCAGTTCTGGATTTACAGGATGAAGGGGAGAAAAGCACGTACAATGGTCATGTGTTTCAGCATTAAATTGCACTCACTGCTGAAGCAGCAAGCATAGCTAACGCAGCTGTCAATGCACATTTAGGAACAGAAGACATGCCTCACTACATTGAAAACACTGCAGCTACATTTGCTCTCCTGTAAGACAGCTGCAGAACTCTTAAGAAGCAATTTCACAGCTTTAACTGAAGGGAGCTGAGCAATTCTTAAAAGCCCCATTGTTTTTAGTTGACAAGCATTCAACACCGGCATTTTGGATCAGCAACAAATAATTTGTAGTCAATTCTCCAGTCCAAACAAAGCACCTTTGCTTGCAGGATTGTGACATCTTCCATCAAAATCAAAATCCAGTGAATCAGATGGTCACAAAGGACTACGCAGTTACAGTTTAACGTAGCACACACTGCTCTTCTGAAAACCAGACAGTGTCAGACATTGTCTTGGTCAACATATAGGAAATGATTCCTGGATAAATACAGTTCTTGAAACCAGAATCCTGAATTGACCAACGAAAGAGAAATGAAACTAAAATATACTATTTGAGAGAAACTTGATGTTAACTTGCAAAACCAAAAATCTGAAGACAATGTATAGATTAAAAAATAAATTCTTGCTGTAAGAGGTGTTGCCGATGGAGAAGTCATAAGAGCAAAAACTAACATTATTATAGTGCCTTATTGTGTCAAAAAGGTATTTTGTAGACAATTGCAGCAGTCATATTGTGCACATTCAGGTCCCACTGCTAGTCAGGTGGATTTTTACTGAGGATACAGGGAGAAAATATTTTTCTCTTTTAAAATTGTCACGATATCTTTAATATCCACCTGAAGAACAGCAGATTTCTCCTCCTTGTTCATCCCACCGGAAGGTGCCAAAATATTTGGGTTTTTAATTCTAAAAGCACCGTTACTATTTCATCATCTAGTGCTTCACCACCCAAGTGGCCATTCTTCACATATAAACGAGTTATAGAACTGTCTTTTATTGTTTAATCTTGTTGATGAGCACAAAGCCATTTGGGTTCTAACTGAATCAAGAATCATGAAGTGCATTGCTACAGTCACCCACTCACGATTCAAAGCAAAAACCTTATCAAATCTTTCAAAGTGATCAGTTCCTGCTCAGTCTTAATGCTCTGAGTCCCGTACAAGTGCAACATACAGCAAGAAAGGTACAAAATTGCATCCTTCAAGCCACTTTTTATACTTCAAAAGAATGAGAGACAATTACCTACCATCTCTAAGCTATTGAAGTAATTGGGAAGAGGAAAGAATAGGACAGTTTTATTTGATCAGATCAGTTTACTCAGTACTTTGGAATATGCAATAACCTTTTTCTTAAGAGTAGTGATGCGAAAGCTACTATGTAAAATCTAGGCAGCCAATTGTAACATTAAAAACAAGAAACTTTTCCTCTGTTAAGTTTTATTGTGGTGGTAGGAATCGACAGCCATCAAAGTATACACCATGGGTTACAGTTCCACCTTAGGTACAACAGAACTGCCTCAACACGTTAACGGCATACAAGCTTATAATCACTACATAATATTTAAACCATAAAAACAAACTACACATTGAAAACAAAACAAGCAAATTGTTAGTTTTATAAAAGCATTTCTACAACACAAACCTTTTTCAGCTTTAACTCAGTCATGCAAGCGGGTTTCCTAGATATGAATGTAAAATCACTGCATTAAAATTGCTGGCAAGCCCATACACAGAACTGTTTTTCTCTTTTGCTGATGCACAGCTAACAATGAACTAACTTTGGGTAACAGAAGAAACGGGTTCTTATTCACATACATCGTCATACTTTACTTATCAGACAAGTCACAGGCTCTGCAAAAGCTTATAGAGTTTAGTTGAACTGAAGTTACAGTATTGACCTTCAAGTCCATAGTTTGGGTCACCTTCAGGATTTGTTAGAATGCACACACCCATGTACTCTTTACACTTACTAAACGAGACCAGATACAACAACAAGGCAATGTCTGATTACAAAAGCATTTCTACACAATGTGGTTTAGTGCTAACTAGGCAATAGAAAGGGAGAAAAAAAAACAAAGAAAAACCACATACAGTTTAGCTGAGTATTTAAATAGGTCACAGTGGGACCACTAACAATTATGTTTAAATATGAGTATGACAACATGCCACTAAGGTGTAAAATGGGTGTGCTTTATTTACATTTATCATAACTATTTAAAGTAAAACAGAAGCACTTTTTATTGTAAGTCAGACATTGTTTTCTGTTAAGTCCAAGAAGGTCAATACCGTATTAATCTGGGGATAGACGCGGGTGGGGGGGGGCTACTAAGGAGAACATTAAAACTCGCCACCATCAAAATCTTTTTTATCCTTCTTTCCCTCCGCTTCCAATCCATCAGTGCCATCACTGTTGTCCCTTCTCCTCTTGCGGTTGCGAACACTGAAACGTGGATTTGTCTGAGGTAATGGATCCATTCCCAGGACTTTGTGAATCTGTCGGAATGCTACCAATCTCAACGCAAACTGAAAATGAGCAAAGAAAAACACCTTTCATAAACCCCAAAACACGATGAACAGGAAGAAAGCTTTCAATTCATTATCCTCTTCTAATATCCCTCCCCTCCTGGAAACGTACCAGCTGAGTGGAGCCCCACATGTGCTTGCTGCCTTTTTTGGGTCCATTTACAAAAGCCAGTTGCCATGCTTTAGAGTGTTTAACGTAGAGTTCCGCATATCTCTGCCACCTACACATTTGAAACTTCCTGTTAGCTGTTGGTTTGCAGGGTTAACACAGGAACCATGTGGCTCCAGTATTTAGTTGAAGTGGCCATTCTTCAGAAAGACCGGCTGAATGAAGAAGAGGCAAACCCAACACCGCTCCAAATATTCACCCAACATTCATACACTTGCATTTTCCAACTGCAGCCACTAGAGGGCTGACTCCCCACAAAGACTTGGTCTATGGAGCACAATTGTAACACCTGTATTGCTGCTCTCAACATGAATAAAACCCAGCACCTTCCTGTTTTTTTTAAATATATAAATGAGTCAGTGCCATAAGGGAGAGTGATTTTAACAACAAGGATTTATATAGCACCCTCCATGTCGGACGGCGTCTCAGAGCGCTTCACAGTAACGCATCCCGGGGCCGACCCAGGGGGAGGGGGAGGAAGGCGCGGTCGAAAAGAAAGGTCTTCAGCCGAGACCTGAAAATAGCAAGAGCGGGGCCGAGGCGAAGGGAGTGAGGAAGGGAGCTCCAGAGCCTCGGGGCATAGTGGCTGAAGGCACGGCCGCTGATGGTGGAGCAGACGACTTGGGGGCAAGGAGGAGGCCAGACCCGGTGGAGCGAAGGCAATGGGCACTGTTGTGAGGAGAGGAGGTCAGAGAGGTAGGGGGGGTGCGGAGGAGTGGAGGGATTTGAATACAAGGGTGAGGATCTTGAAATCGATCATCTCTGGGACAGGCAGCCAGTGCAGTCTGGCAAAGACTGGGGTCATCGAGGAGCAGAGTTTGGTGCAGGTAAGAATGAGGTAAGAATCCAGAGTCCTGGATGACCTGGATTTTATGAATGGTAGTGGAGGGAAGACCGGCGAGGAGGGCATCTGAATAGTCCAGCTTAGAGGTGACAAAGACATGGACCAGGGTTTCGGTGGCTTTTGGAGTGAGGTATTGGCGGAGACGGGCGTTGCGTCAGAGGTGGAAGAAAGCGGTGCTGGTGAGGAACCAGATGTGGGGGAGGAAGGATAATTGGGGGTCGAACCTGACGCCCAGGTTGCGTATGGGTTCGGAGTTTTAGGGGCAGGTCAGGTAGGTGGAGGAGGTGAGAACCATGCGATTTTAGACGTTGACAAGAGCCAAAAAGTATGGCTTCCGTCTTGGAGAACAAGTAATAGAACAACTGCAACAACTTGCTTTCATATTCATATAGCATCTCGGAGTGCTAAATCTACCAATTTTGGCATCAGGAGCTCAAAAATATACATCTGTGAAAATGAACTGCATGAACTCTAAACAATTAGAATAGGTTTAAAAACAAATTAATTTTTAAAAAAATTGGTGGCATCATGACACAGCATGTTATAAACAAAATATAACTAATCCTTACATTCGATACAGTGCCTCATCACAGCTTCGAGACGTCTCAAAGCGCTTCACAGATTATACTGGGAAATGAATTGACTGTACATTTTGTGGACGAAATGTGGCAGCCAATTGTGCCACAGCAGTGTCCCACAAACAGTCATGGATTGTGTGACAAATTATTATTATTTTTTTAATAGATTATTACCTCCAAAAAGGGATCTGCCAATCGACTAACAACTGGGTTCCTATTTACTGATAGGTAAACAGAGGTGGGTGGAGTAAGGAAACTTGCCTAAGGTTTCCCTCGCCGAGGAATTGAACTAGAGGCCTTTCGCTTGCGAGCTGAGCGCACTACTGCTATGCTACGGGACACCATTACATTAGCCACAAACCTCCTCAGCTCCAGTTGGTGCCAAAAAGCATTTGAGAAGATACACACATAAGAGGTTTATGAGAAAGATTATGGTACATGAAATTAAAGGCAACGTGACCACACGGATAAGAGACATGGTTGAAGGGCAGAAAAGTATGGCTACAAAGGAAGATGGAGTGAGTAGTATCACAGTGGTCATTATTATTATTTACAGTAATCAGGACATGGGAATTGAAGAAACAAATTATGTACAAAGGGTATCAGCCCTGAACTAAACAGCTCTTCATACTTAAGAGGTGTCAACGGCTTTAATACTTCAACTTTCATTTGCAGTTTGTAATTACCAGCTTGCCTTATAAACAAGGCAGATGGGACAGATGATGTTGGCGGAAAGCACTAGACAGTTGTTGAAGCACTGACCCCAGTCAAACCCAGAAACAACAGTGTCACCAGTAATCCCTAATGACTGCAACAATGGATTTTGAGTCATCTTTCAAAGGCACATCGACTGCATAATAGCCTTGTATACTTAAAAGAACCATACCTGTGCACTGGCTGTGATATCTTCCCGCTGTTGTGCAGCCACTGAAGTCAGTGTGTCACTGGGATTCTTTTCACATGGGTCATATAATCCAGGACCACCTGAAAGACAATTTGGTAGGAAAATTTTAGTCTGGTATTTAACCTTCATGAGTATATTTGCAACTCAACAAATAAACAATCCTTGCATTTTATATAGTGCCTTCTCAGATCCTCAAAACATATTAGAGCGCTTTGCCGGAATTTTACTATGAATGTAGGGACTAGATTTGTAGGCGAACAGCAGGGTCTCCTTGCAGCTGAACTGGCTTCAAGGTGACATGCCTGTCAATCGGATGTCAGAATCGAGCCAGCTCTCTGTGGTGGTCTCGGTAGTCCGGTTCCTGAGCCAGGCGGGTCGGCAGTATTCCAGGGAATGCTGATGACACCACAGCCAGTCTGGCTCACCTGGCAGAACCTGGAAGGACAGACCAGTCACTGGGGGCAAAGAGTCACCCCACGTAGCTCCTGTTAACCCTGCAAGCCAAAGACCTAACAGGTAGAGTGGTCCTAGGGGACAAGCAGCAGGAAAGCTTGCCAAACAGCAACATCAATAATAATAATAATCCTTGCATTTGATATAGCGCTTTTCACGTCAGGAGGACATCCCAAAGCGCTTCACAGAACACACTGTAAAGTGAATTGACTGTATATTTGTGGGCAAATGCGGCAGCAAATTGCGCACAGCAATGTCCCACAAACAGTCGTAGATTGAAAATGACCAATCTATTATTGTTTTTGGAGGGATTATTATTAGGCGTGTGGAGTAAGGAAACTTGCCCAAGGTTTCGCCCTGACCTGCCTGGAATTGAACTCAGGTCTCTCACTTGCAAAGTGAGTGCTCTAACCACTGAGCTACAGGACTCGGTTTTAGCTGGTTAAGACTGCAGCAGTTACCCCAACGCACACGCTGGGGTCTCCAAGCCTTGGCTCTTGCTAACTTGCACCTAATAATTTCCAGAATCCAGGGAGAGAGAGCGCATTCCATTCCAACAATCTACCTCTGGGATTTCCAAGTGTAGGTGGGATGTATGGAAATCTCCGCTTGCTTTGGAAACTCATAAGCATGGTGATGGGTTTCCACATGTGTCAGACACCCGGCTGACCAAAAAATAGGCGAACGGTACAATTCTACCCCAAACTGATTTTTGGATTATTTTCTAAAACGTCATTTGTTGGGTGAACCAAAGCAGACGATAAAATGTCAATTTGTCAATCAGCATAATGGCTGCAGAAATACCTGCCCCAATAGTATATTTCCTAGCAAATATTATACTTAGTGTGTTTAATGGATAAGGCACAGAAATTAATTTTTTTTAATTAAAAAGTTTTAAAAATCTTCACAATGGCAATATCATAATTAGGATTTGCTATTTTCACATAGAAATGGTGGGCTTAGTTTAAAGGAGTGCAATATTTGAAGTCTTTCATTGCTGGGCTATGATAGACTTCATACTTCATAGAAGAGATAAAATGTTTGCAAATTCTCAACGGCTTTCCACCAGCTCTGATTATTGTAACTACTCATTTGGTTTCTACAAAAAAATTAATGCAAACTAAATATTATAGAATCACTACAAGTTTAAGTGTTCATTCAGTAATGTAATTTTACTTTTGGGGTCAAGGGGACCAAAATATTTTTTCTCACTTTACAATGCATCCAACCTGTGCCATTCTTGATTTTGAAGTTAACTGGTGCAACACTCTTGCTACCTCATTCTACAAACATTCAGTCCCCAATATAGTTAGTCTCCAATACAATAACCCCCCAAAATAGTGCTTATTTCTAATTTGCCTCTGAATGCTGCCAAATTACACATAGTGTGATTGACAGCTCACAAAATTCCAATTGAAGTTGTTCAAATTTTGGGACAGGATTATATCCCCACAGACATCACTCAGTATGCGGAATAATTTGACAAATCAAATGAAAAGATCTACGAAATGTGCTGACACAGTAATTTATTTAGTGCCTTTCACATCGGGAGGATGTCCCAAGGCGCTGGAACGTCAGAATTTGGACAGGAGCAGGGGGTTGGGATCGGGAGGGGTTGAGGGCAGGTAGGATAAGGGTTAGGCGCAGTCTGTGGTCGAAGGCACAGTCGAAGAGGGTTTTGAGACGTTCCTTGAAGGAGGCAAGGGAAGGAGTGAGGGGAAAGGACTGTGGGATGGAGTTCCAAAGGGTGGAGGCAGAGAGGCTGAAAGCCCGATCACCGATGGTGGGATGAGCCAGGCGGGGGACGTGGAGCAGGTTGGAGCCGGCTGAGCAGAGGGAGCGGACAAGTTGATATGGGGTTAGCAGGTCGCAGAGCTAGGAAGGAGCAAGGCCGTGGAGAGTTTTGAAGGTGAGGACGAGGATTTTGAACTCTATCCTCTGGGGAAAAGGGAGCATGTGGAGACGGGTGAGGGCGGGGGTGATAGGGTCACGGAGCCTGGTGTGGGAGAGGACACGAGCTGCAGAGTTCTGGATGATCTGCAGCTTGTGTAGGAAAGTTGGGAAGGTCAACAAGCAGGGAGTTGGCGTAGTCATGCCTGGAAGTCAGGAATCAGTAGACCATCAGTCTACGCCTTGAATTTCCTACAATATTCCTTCCATCTATTCTCTAAATCTAACCATCCTGAATGCTTTTAGTTGACTCGAAATGGTTCATTTCCTTTGCTGTTTCTTGTTCCACAACCTGTATTAATAGGTTTCTGTAAATTAAATTCAGTCAAGCAGAAAAATGAATTACTATTTGTTTAAATCAACTACTCATGTTTAAATTATATTCCAATCAGTGATTTCAGAACCAGTTGAGTCAAAAATTCAAACCTCACCTGATAAGAGTATTCCAGAAGCAACGCATTCAAAAACTCTCCTCATGGCATCACCAGGGCTAAGAGGTCCAGAAGCACTGCTGATTACCTTTTCCACCAGCAACTCCATGGCCTATGTAAATCAAACAATTAATCGCAGCACGAAACAGGTTACAGTAGGATGCCATTTATCCGTACAACTTTCTGTATGTCCGCTTATCTACGTAGATGTAGCCCGCAAGAAACCGGCAAAAAAAAAATTATGTGCAAGTGTAAAATTGCTACTTCACAGGGTGGTATTAGAGACACAAAACTTGTCACACTGCACAAGTATATCATGGCCCGAGCAACTTCACATCACCTAGTTTTTAATACTTTGGATGTTGTAGGCATCAAGTCCACGAAAGGGAAAGATAGAGATAAAGGTAAAGAGTGCAAGAATGAGTTAGAGAGAGTACGGTTGGCACAGTGTGATACTTTTGTGAAGGAATAACAATGGATCCATTTTTTAAAGTTAGAATTGCAGTCAATGTGTATTTTGGTGGTGACCAATTTCCAGTTTTGCTCATCCACAGTAGGGTCAGTGCCAATTAGAGTGGATAAATGGCATCTACACAGCAATTTCAACACAGTCAATCAGTTGAGACTGACATTTCACAGTGAAACCCAACAATTTGTCAGGCGTAAACCACTTCATACATCTTATAGATTTCCACGTACACAGATCAGTCAGTGTGGTGCGATAGAGAATAAAAATACCAAATACACTTCACCACATCTTCATGTCCCACTTCCCCTCAAAAGTTGGTCAGTGGCTGGTAAACAGCCCAGACTGTTGACAATATGGTTCTTGAAGGGGATGCTTGGAAGTGTACAGTAACATGCCTGGGATAATACTCATACCACCCCCCACCCCTCCCAAACCCCTTCAGTTTCACTCTTGTACCCTTTCTATAGGCTGACATATTTTTCATGAGAAAGGAAAAAAATGTACTGCAAACATTAGATTCTAGTGATGGTATTAGAAATAAGACATCAACTTTCGGCTAAATCAGGAGTAATGGATTAGTTTACAACTGGGTTGCATAATTCTTAATAGGTTCCATTCTGTTGATTATCTGCATTAAAACAAGGTTTGGTGGAATACATACCGATTACCAATGCAATAAATGGACTACCAATTTTTCCAGTTACTCAGGTCATAAACGAGGAACATAAAAGTTTATAAGATCAAAAAAAAATTGAATTGCACATCTAGATCTGCAACTTCCACTCAAGTTCTGAAATGGCGCATCACATTAGGTTACATTATCCGGATGATAAAAAAGATTGTTCGGGAAACAAAACTGACTGAAAAATAAAGTTGTGCGGTCTCCTAATGTTACATCACAGACAAACATGTTGTACTAAGAGAACCATTCCCCAGCCCTGATTCAAAGCGGTTCTTCATCCTCTGCATTGAGGGTCCCCTGAGCTTACTGTAAGCTAACATAGCTGCACTCACCCAGCCTGGCAAAACTCCCCAGGTTGGTACACGCTGGCAGAGGTCACGAAGAATGCGAATAATAATCACGCAGGATTGGAGACCATTGGCTCTAGCCTTGAGCAGAAACAAAAATCTAGTCAAGTGAACATCAACAACTCTCAAGGACACAGAGCACATAACAGAGGGAAAAATTCTGCTACTTTAAACAGGAGCTTGTAAAGACGGTGGATTCATTCAAAATATAATTCCACTATTTTTCCTGCGAGCCCACTGTTTACAGCAGAATTTTTCTGATTTTAAAGAAATAGGGGGTCGAAGTACACAGCAGAAACAGGAAGAAGCTTGCCAAGCTTATCTTCCTGCCCTCTTGTGAACCCAGGTCCCCATTTTCTTAGCGTATATTTACAGAACAAGACATTTATATAAATTAAGTGCACAATTATAAATTAAAAAGGGAATGAGACATGGCAGTCTGCTTTTTTTCTTACTGTACATTTGCTGCACTGCAAAAAGTCACAGTAAGTCAAGCAGCTCCCTCTGTCTCCCACACCAGGATTGAAACCATTAACTTTAAAATAGTCATTAATGCAGCAGGTGAAGTTTACAAAAGCTGAACGGAAGCATTATAATTTTTTTTAAAAGCAGGTTAATAACTGCAGCCTTATGGAACAATTACTACGTCAACACAATACTGATAAAGAGCAAACGTTATGTAAAGCGACACAAGGATGCCTCATGCTACAGTCAATGACCAGAAAAAAATGAATGCACAACTGAGTTTTTTTTTATGTATAAAAATGGAAAAACTGAAAAAGTAACCTAGAAACATTGCACTTAAAAAAACTATTTTTCCTGGTCAGTCTTAGGCAATGGCACAATCAATGTAGGCAGCCTTGGGAATATTAAATTTACCATGTAAATAGCTCGTTTTAATGGAAAGTCATTACTCAATCATCTCTCATAAGGCTACATAGAAGAAAGTAAAATGATGTTGCGAACCTGGAACCACTTAGCGTGGCGGAGAGCAGCCAGAGCGTCAAGGCATTTTTGCCTGTCCAAGACGTTCGGTGGGTCTTTCACCATAACCGAGGTGACATCTAAAATGGATCGAATTGGCAAAGTGCAGTGAGGAACGGGTGTTTGACCAGGTAGCATTTCATTTCAGAAACATAGCCATACTGCCACACGTGCTACCTAAAAACTCACACTTCGTATGGGAGAGAGATCAATAAAACTTCATTTTGAATACCCAATGTCTTCCAATTGAATGCATTGTAAAACGTTTCAGCATCTTACATGGGCGATGAAGTTGCATTTTTTTTCCTTTTATTTAAATTAAGAAAAACATATGTGAAAGCACCCAACATAATGGAAACGACTGCTTCAAATATCAGTTTGCCCCAAAGCACAGGGGAGGACTGTCAGCCACACTTTACCAGCCAATTCAGAACATGTAATAGAAGGGCCACTAGAAATCCATGTCTTGAAGAGGAAGATTGATTTTATTAACCTGATAAGGTCAATTGACAAGGTGGACAAGTTTGAAATGATATACTATTACAGTATTTGATTCTCATTGCTTTTGTTGGAAGGGGATTATTTTTACAGTTTAGATTTCATCAAAACTAGGGCATTGGTTCATTACCAGTTACCACATATTGCAATATTCTTACAGTACATGGTGCACAAAGCAAAAGATAACGGTGTTACATGCTAACGATATTTCAAAACCAACTCACGGGAAACAAAGATTTTCTAGTCGACCTTGTCAGATCCCCTTCAATTTATCCTTTTGTTTTAAAAAAGAGTTCTCTAAAATTACTGTAAAAAATGCCTGTGCTCAGAGGAACAGGAAGATATCCCAGGAATTAAATTTTTAAACTTGGCAACTTGACCAATTTGATGCCTGATCATTACTATCAATGGATAGAAAGCAGAGGAATCCCAACACTACCTTGAGCTTGCTTATCAAAACCTCACTAGTACCTCCACCGTTCCAGCATAGCTTTGATTCCTAACTACCTGTTTTTACAGTCAGAGATTGAAAATTGATGGCAATTTTGCCAAATGTTAATGTGTGCTTTTTTCTTGGTTGGCTCCCATCCACTGAAGGCTGGACTAAACCTCTTATCGCACTCGATTCAGTTTAGTTTTAGGTCAAGTGGAGTTAAGAGAAGGAGTGATTGATACTTTGAATATCTACTGCTGAACACAACGTAGCTTTGTCAAAGTTTACAATTAACAGCCAATTGCATTATATTCAATAGTTGGTTTAAGGACTCAAAGAGCAGGCAGAAAGTTTACAGGTACTTTTATACTTTTATCCTCTTCTGGGCTGGACTGGAGTCTATCCTAATTTGGTCACTCAATCCATGACTGTTTGTGGGACACAGCTGGATGCAATTGGCTGCCGAGTTTTGCCCACAAAATTTAGTCAATCAACTTTACAGTATATTCTGTGATGTGCTTTGAGACGTTTCAACGACGTGATAAAGCGCTATATCAAATGTAAGAATTATTATATTATAAAAGATGAACAGTCAGAGTTCTAATCCACTGTGCGACTCAATCCCCCTGTCCAGTGTGTTTTTCCTTATCAACAACTTATGTTGATCATTTAAGTACCAATTACATAGTTTTCATCTTCAATGGCTGGGGAGAGGGCACAGGAGGGAGAAATGTTCTCAGCTGCAAATGTTACAATATAGTATTTAGAAAACACGGGATTTAAAATTTACTGAAAAGGAAGGGATTGATGGTTAACTTCTGCAGTAATGAATTTTTGTGGCCCTGCTAAAGTTTGACAGAAACTATCAGTTTTAAATCAGCAGCATCAGACTGACTTGAAGAAAGCAGGAAAGGAAATGGAAATTCTGCAAGTAACACACTTAAAGAGATAGACCGATACCACATATCTGGTAATATGCATAATGCTGGCATAAGATATTTCCTTATGGCACGTACTGTTCCAGACACAACTTGAATGCTTTTTGGAAATTCAAATCAAATTAGAATTCAAAATGGTGTGATTTTCACAGGAAAGGGTTTGTTGGAATTACTGCCTTTGTCAAGTTGCTTCATTTCACAGAGCAAAAAGTATCTGATACCAACACTAGATGGCATTGTTCGATCTCTGATAAACTTTATACACAAGCAAGGCTGGAGTGGCTCCAGTCCATCCGACAACTGTGTGGCAGGTGTGGCTAAGCTCTTACAAAAACCTTGGTCAAAAATCCTTCCGATGACGTGGCAGCAGCCCCTGAGAGGATTCGATTCTTGCTGCTGATGCAAGAAGGCTTTGGACTGAATCCATGAGCTAGGGATAAGATAAAAGTAACCATCGTGTTGCAAATCTACATCCCAACAAGAGTCACAAGTTATTGCAGAGTCAACAGTAGCAAGACACTGGTGGCAGTCTCACCAACAATTCGACAATTTTTCAAATATGTGTTACTACCCCGGTCCCTCATCCAGAGATTCCTCTCACAAAGCCTTCATTTGTCGTTCAGTAACTCCCCAAAGGATATTCTGAAGGCCTACAATTAAATCTTACATTTAAGCAGGGCTCTCAAATTCAACAAACTTCAAAACGCATCTGTACTGTCAAGGCAAACTCTACCGTTCTTTATTGGTTTATTAAAAAGTTGCAAAGATTTTTTTTGCGAGAGCAACAGAATTTTCCCCCAAAAAAAGATCAAAGAGAACACTTCAACGCACAAGGCATGTGGTACATTGGTGCCTGGGTTTTCGCTTTCTCCCCTCCAAGAATTCAGATGACATTGCTTTTTTTTGTTGAAATGTGGACCCATGACTTGGGACGTCCTTCTGACCTGAAAGGCGCTATACAAATGTGATTTGTTGTTGCTCATTGCAACTTTTGCCATTTTAAATACATTTTGTGCGCTGTCAACCCAGAAAAAGACCGACAGCACAACACGTTTGGGAATTTGTATCGATGGGTTATAATCTAGCATTCCTCAGGCCATTTTACCAGTTATTCCACACCTTGCCTTGTAACTTGGGAAGCTCTAAGGCTCCCATGGTGTTATTCAGTACTCTGCTGTCTGTGGAAATTAAGAGCCCCGTTCTGCAATAAGATAGCCCATGGATTAGGTTAAAAATATCAATCTAAAACCGGCACATTATAAATTGCAATACAATAATGTGAAGAATAGAGGGGCCAGCTTGTACTCAGGGGAGCACCTTAAATTTAGACCACCAAAGGACCTCAGAATGGCGAGCTCTACAACACTTTCCTCTTCACCACACAGCGGACTTCACATTCTGCACACATTAAAGCATGCTGCAAACTTGGCCCTCTTTCAAATCTCTAATGTACTGAAAGTGTCATAGAGAAACTCCTAGGGCCCGAAGTTGGCATCTGAAGATAGCAAGAAAAAAAAGCAGATAAGTCAAGAATATTAATAAACTTCCAACCTCCATCCCTCATGTTCTCCTCTCTAATGATTGGGGATGTAAGAGTGATGGTGACTTGCATTTTGGGTTCTGTACACGAGGACAGAACTATGGATGCTTCCGGTATGCAGCATTTCACTTCATATTTCTCAGGGGTTGTTACCTGTAATTAGAGAAGATCTTTTAAAAATATTAATAGGGAACATGTTGCACAAACATTATAGAGATGCCGAGCCTTTTTAAGACTGGCTTGCCACACTGGACCATACACATCAATACAATTTCACCGGGATCTTGTATACAATCTAACAAGCTTTAATACTGCACATAAATGCTTAATGCATTTGCATCTGTACTTGGAGCTTCAGCTACAACGAGGAAGAGGTGTCGGGGGAAAAAAGCAAGTTCAGTACCAAGTAACCAGATCGCTGCTTGGAGTAAAATTCCCATACCGCTATTTGTTTTGGCAAGTTCTCTGCAATGCGATTCAGTAGAGCTCCGGTCGGTTTCTCTGCACAAAGCAGCACTAGATTCACATTCTTGTCTCCGCGCAAGAGCAATCCTTTAGCGAGTACACCGACACGCATTACCCCCTTCAAGGCTCTCTGGTTTTCATCCCTTCTGGAGTAAGCAGGAAGAGAGAGGAGATGTGGAGGGGGGGGGGGGGGGGGGTTGTGGGGGGGAGAGGCAGGAGAAAGAAAAGGATTGATAATTCATTAAGACGGTAATTAAACAAATTGTTATTTCCGAGCTTTCATCATTAGAAACCCCCTACTATATAAAAAGAAGGGGAAGGAGAGAGAGAAAAAGACCAACAGAGGATATTACTGCGAATACTGAAACTCAAACTCGCTTTGATTGAATGTCCACTTAACTATTAACTGTTTTGGGCTTCAAATTTCCTCCTGACTGCACTGAACATGCCACAGAGTGATTAATATTTTGAAAACAGGCAGCATTAAATAACTTATTTGTAATGGGACATTAGATGACTTTCTGACCATTCAGAAACAGAAATTTTCTTTAGGAAATGTAAGAAGTAAGATAGTGTCCATGATTAAATCGGCACATTATACTCAAATCGGCGCAATGAATGGGCTTCAGGGCACTGAAAGGCTCGTTTCACATTCCATGCTTCAGCAACATCACGTTACAGCCAAATGGAAACATGAGAACAACAACAACAAAATTACATTTATAAAGCGCCTTTCACATCGGGAGGACTTCCCAAAGCGCTGAACAGTCAGGTGTCAGAGCCCGAACATGGGGGAGGGGTGGTGAGGGGTGAGGGAAGGCAGAGAGGTGGGAGGGCGACCAAAGGTACGATCAAAGAGAAGGGTCTTGAGACCGGCCTTGAAGGAGGCAAGGGAGGAAGCGAGGCGAAGGGACCGTGGGACCGAGAAACCACAAAGACTAAAAGTTGTCGTAAAGATGACAATTCTGTCCAAACAGTAATTAACATTAGGGACTGGAGAAAAATTAACGATTTGAGATTACAAACAGATGGAAAACAAAGAAATGACAGCCATATCAATGGAGCGATTCTTCCAACAATGGGATTCAAGCTGGGATAGATAAAAAGAAAAGCTCTGACATCTTATACCCAAAACATTGAAATCTTTTATCTTTCCTAATGCTGAATACTAATAATCTTTGCATTTGATATAACGCCTTATCAAGTCTTCAAGACGTCTCAAAGCGCTTCACAGAAAATACTGTAAAGTGAATAGTATATTTTGTGAGCAAAACGCGTAAGCTAATTGCACGCAGCAGTTTACCCACAAACAGTCGTGGATATGGTGTTAACTACAAACTTTGTCCACGAAACAGATACAACACTTTACAGTATATCCTCCAAAGTACTCTGAACCCCCTAGCCTGCATGGAAGACGCTATATACGTGCAAGTTGTTGTTGTACCCCAATGACAGATAAGGCACTATTAAATGCAAAGATTTTAAAAAAATTATTAGTTACGTTTTAAACTCTCATATAACTGAAAATAAATGTTGCTACTGGAAAGAATATTACCTCTCTTTGCTAATTTCCTTCTTTTCTTCCTCTTTCTTTGGTTTATCTTGCTCTGTGATGAAGTCAGATACAAGTTTAAGAGCACGCTCAGTATGTGAGACAATCTTCTGGACCGCTTGCAGCTCTTCCTCAGTTGGATAGATGGCAGCATGCTTGGTCATCACATAGCGATCATCTGAGGAATCTGGACGCCTAGGAGGCTAAAGCAGAGGATGACAGTTTAACACCTAAAAAAATTTGCATTGCAACAACAATAAATTACACCTGTGTAGAACCTTTTACGTCGGGAGGACGTCCCAAGGTGCTGGACAGTCAAGGATTCAGATCCAAACTGGGGTTGGGATCAGGAGGGTTGGATGGTAGGGGTAGGAGGGTAACCAAAGGCATTGTTGAAGAGGAGGGTCTTGAGACAGTCCTTGAAGGAGGCGAGGGAGCGGGGCAAAGGGAATGTAGGATGGAGTTACAAAGAGTGGGAGCGGAGAGGCTGAAGGCCCGACCGCCATGGGGGGCGCGGAGGACGTGGAGAAGGCCGGCACCCACTGAGCGGAGGGAGAGCGGACAGGTCAATATGGAGCTAACAGGTCACAGAGGTAGGGAGGAGCAAGGCCGTGGAGGGCAGTAGTTTCACAATTTTAAATTCAGCAAATAATGAATTCCACAGGAAAATTTATAGCCAATCCAGTCTACTGATTCCCATTTAGTCGGAAACAGAAATGTTCTCTTTTCCAATAATCTCCCTGACAACCGCCGCTTGCATTCAAAAAACATTAAACATCTTAACCTGGTGATACACAAGTAATTTACATGAATGCAACCTGTTTGACTGAAAACAGAGCAGGCCTGGAAAAGAGATTTAAAGAAGGATATTAGCAAGGAATATCTCCTCTCTCCCTCCCAACAGAATAGCAGCAATGTGAAATGCCATATACAACAGTCGATGATGCTTTGATAACCCACTTTTAAAACAGATAAATATCTGGTTGGGAGCAATATTACAAACTGATAGACACAAGTAGAGATTGAAATGAATAAAATCGTTTTGATGCTCAAAACTAACATGACTAAAGCACATTTTACTCAAGTCTGTGCAATGCAGCTGGCATTGAGCAGGAATAAAATAAAGGAACAGGGCTGGAATGACATATGGATGATTATGGTACAGCTTTTGCTCAATTGCCTTAGGGATCACGCAATATTTATAAAGAACTTTCTCTTCAGGGATAGGAGAAGTCAAGTCAAAAATCAGAAGGATGTCAGATCTGGAGCCTCTCGTAGGCCCTGACAGCTGGTTACAGGAGCTACAAGTAGCGGTCTGGGAATAAGCAGACTGCTGCCCCAGCTGAGATGTGCCCTTTCAGGTCAACAAATAAATAGGCAAACCATTATACATTTTTTTTAAATAAAGGCCAGACTGAATATGTTTGGATGATTCTAAAAACGTCACTATCAATTAAGTCGAGCAATTAAACTAGAATTATTATTGCTCACAACTTCACTACACAATAAATGTTGGAAAAGACTGTGTAATTTATTTAAAATGGCGTGAAGCAAGTCACAAGTGATGCACGATAAAAAGGTGCAATCTTCGTAGATGTACTATTTTCTGTCGTGCAAAATATTCTTGTGCAATCATAAAGCACATTTTTACTTTTCCACCTGTAATTTATCCCCTCCTTTCCAGTAATTCACCCAAATAGCCATTACTCAGCTATACCCATTCTGGCTAATCAATTATAACAACAATTTGTGCATAAGATATAGCACCTTTTACATCAGGATGTTTCAAAGCACATTAAAGACAGTCAATCTGCTTGAAGTGAATGGCCCTTTTTATCTGGAGAATTGTTAGCAAGGATGCTGAGAGCAACTTCCTTCTCTTTTCAAACATGGAAAGCTAAATTGATCTCAATATTGTCCATCTTTGCTTTCAGTTTCCAGAAGGTTGCTAGATAGCTACAGGGACTTCAGCTTGTTTAATTGTTTAAAACCCAATTTCTAAATTCTGAAGAACCTCATGTTAACTCACAATTGTTTTTCAATCCAGGCTACTTTACTGACAGCGACAGACTATTTTCAAGAAGTTGAGCTTTCACAAAAGATAACGTACCAGTGGTCCTTGGGGCTGTAACATTCCTGGTCGAACTCCAAGCAAGCCTGGAGGATACCCATCACCCATTCTGCGGCGATCGTCCCAGTAATGATGTTCCTCTTCCACTCGCCTCCAATAGATATCCTCTTCATACCTTCTGAGCAAAAGTGATAGCTTGCGTGTTAGGTTAATGTCAACATTCACAAGAATTAACACTACAGAGTTTTATTTCATAGCATTTCTCAATGGAGTGCTCCATATATGCCCACAGAAAGCCAGCCAGCTGCTTTTGTAACGCACAACCTAACCTCCTAACTTTATTTTTATGAAATTGGGGTTTTTAATGCTTTTAGGTCACAAAATGTCAAGATGTGTTACCGCCTTTTAAGTGAAATGGTACTATACTGCTGGGTGTTCTAATGGAGCTCTCCTTTTGTAAGATAGTGTCACACAAGACAAGTGGACAGACTTATCCTGCATGAAACATTCAGCAGATAGGTTTACAACAGCACACCTGTGAAGTGGATTTGCAGTAAAAAGAGAAAACCTGTAAGAAGGAAGGGATCTAGCCTACTCCAAACTCTCACTCCGCATGCACCCAGGAGGCTGAGCTAGCCAGCCAGATCCAGCCAGCCTGCCAAAGTGCCTTACAGGTTAACCTGGAATAAGTAGTTTGATCCTGAATGAGAGCTAACTTTCTTCAGTTGAATGTCAACAAGACCGAGGCCCTCCTAATTGGCTCCCGTCAGCGACTCCTCACCTCAGGCGAAGACAGCGTCATCATCCACGGTTACACACTCCACCTTGCTAAGCCAGTCCGGAACCTTGGGGTCTTGTTTGACCCTCAACTATCCTTTCTACCCCACATCTGTGCCCCACTGTCTCACACCGCAGGCCGCCAAAACCCTCATACACGCCTTCATTACATCAAGGCTCCACTATGCAAAGTCACCGCTTGTGGGCTTCCACAACTCCTTCCTCCACAGGCTGCAGATCATCCAGAACTTCCCGCACTAGGCTCCATGACCCTGTCACCCCCATCCTCGCCCAACTCCACCTGCTTCCCATCACACAGAGGATACAGTTCAAGATCCTGGTCCTCACCTTCAAAGCCCTCCAAGGTCTTGCTCCCCCCTACCTCTCTGACCGCCTAACCCCCTGCCACCCTGTTCGCTCCCTCTGCTCAGCGGGCTCCGACCTGCTTCGCATCCCCAGCCTTGCTCGCCCCACTATTGACGGGCAGGCCTTCCACCACTCTGCACCCACCCTCTGGAACTCCATCCCGCACTGCCTACGTCTCGGCCCCTCTCTCGCCACCTTCAAGACCCACCTCAAGACCCTCCTCTTCGACCATGCTTTCGATCTCCCTGCTTCACCCCCTGCCCTCCCCCNTCCCACACCCCGACCCTCAGCTTGGGTCCGTAACTCTGTCTGTCCAACGTTTTGGGATGTCCTCCCAATGTGAAAGGCACTATACGAATGTGATTTTGTTGTTGATTTGCAAACACAGCAGCCAATTTGCACACAGTAATGTCCATAAACAGCCATGAAATGAATGACCAATTTTTAAAATCAGGGAGATTGCTGGCCAAGGCACCAGAGGAAACTCCCTTCTTTTCTCAAATAATGCTGCAGGATCTTTAATGCCACCTAAGCAAGCAGGCAGCACCTTAGTTTAACATCTCATACTCCCAATAATGCCGCATAGCTAGACTATACGAGTTCCAAGTTCTGACATGGGGTTTGAACTCAGAACCTTCTGAATCATAGGTGAGAGTACTACCAGCTGAGCGAGACTAACACTAGGCTGGTGGTGGGTGTGGGTGTGTGAGAGAAAAGAAAAACGAGAAAAATACACAGGGGAAAACAGCAGGCTCTCTGGAGTTGAACTATGCTTTTTCATCACAACAGTACTTCTGGGTCCTTAATAATGGTTTCTGTCAAGATAACTATAGAGGTAAGAAGGCACATTCTTTCTCTATCCTCCCACCCCCCACCCAACCCCCACACACACACACACATTATAGTTATGTTAGTTTATGGAGGTAGATAAACAGAGCAGTAATATTCTCAGCTATAAACCTCATTGTAGGACATAGAAAGATGAAAGCTTGTAATGAGAGAGTGAGGGGCACTGCTTCTCACACTTTCTCCATCTTTTGGACCAAAGAATGCCAGGTGACCACAAATAAAAGTAGACAAGAGAAAGTTCTGTTGTGCATTAATCCCACTTTCCAGCTCTTTCCTTATATCTCAATGCTTTCACTCCTCAGGTGCTGACCCGGTTCTATTTGGAAAGATTCTATTGATCCTACCGCAAGGGAAAATTGCAGTAATAAATTCCATTCCCAAGATCCCTTCCTTAGTGACTCATCTTGATACTCAATATTTCCATAGCTAAATATATGCACAAAACAAAGCTCAGCAGTTTCCGGCCTGTTCCACTTTCCCACTCTGCTCGCCCCATCAGCTGTCAGACCTTCAGCCTTTATGCATCCACCCTTTGGAACTCCATCCCACAGTCCCTTCTCCTCACCCCTCCCAAGACTCTCCTCTCTCTCTTACCTCTCTGCCCTCCACCCCACCGAACCCTTCCTTAGTGACTCTTCTTGATACAATACAATATAATAATCCTTGCACTTGAAATAGCATCTTATCACGTCTTTGAGACGTCTCAAAGCGCTTTACAAAATATATTGTAAAGTGTAGTCACTGTATATTTTGTGGGCGAAACACGGCAGCTAATTGCACACAGCATATGTTAAATATATGTATAACGTTTCATAAACACAGATTGGAAAAACTCCCATTACTATTATGCATGGCCGTGCCACTTCCTACCTCTACGACCTACTAACCCCTTATCAACCTGTCCGTTCCCTCCGCTCAGCACGCTCTGGCCTGCTCAATGTCCCCCACCCTGCCCACCCCATCATCGGAGTTCGGGCCTTCTACCTTTCTGTCCCCACCCTCTGGAAGTCCATCCCATATGCCCTTTGCCTCACCCCCTCCATTGCCTCCTTTAAGTCATGCCTCAAGACCCTCCTCTTCAACCGTACCTTCGACCACCCTCCTAACCTCCACCCTCCCTGATCCCAACACCCTTCCGTCCCCCCAATCGCGTCCTAATCCCTGACTGTTCAGCACCTTCAGACATCCTCCCGACGTGAAAGACGCTTTACAAATGTAATTCTGCATTGTATACTGCTTAAAGGTGTAACCCTCAGGAATGGACAGCGCCTTGGGACGTCCTTCCGACGTGAAAGGCTCTATATAAATGTCATTTTGTTGTTGCTGCTGGCTTCCAGTCCTGCTTACCGCATTTCCATGCGCCAGCGCTCCTCCTCCTCCCTTCTTCTCCAGTATTCTTCCTTTTGCATTTGTTTTCTCATCTTTTCTTCTTGGATTTTTCTTGCTCGAATGCTTGGTTTTACTTCCACTTGCAATTCCGGATTTACTTTTTTCTTAAATATAAATTAAAAGTTCCACATCAATGTTTACATCCACCAGGCACGCACGGCGCCAGCAATGGGAATAATTTTGTTGACTCAACACGTACCTTATACTGCAGTCGATGTCTTCTTCCTTTCAGGTGCATTTCCTTTGCATTAGGATCGTTAAAGCTGCATTCACATAATTTGCAGTGGAAGCGAATCACTTTTCCTTCATCATTTCGAACCTAGGAAAACAAAGGAATGAGGTGACTAAAGCTGACATTTTTTTCAGAGAACAAGCTTTCCAAGATATTTTTGCACAGGAACATGTGTCCACTGAAAACGTTTGTGGTTGTTGCATGCAAGTACATTTTGAAATTTCCAAATATCACACGAGTTATCAGTAACAACTGGATTCCAAATAGGGATTTCTGACACATATAGATCATCATTGTGCTTAAGAGTATCCAAAACAGACTGAGAAACCACACATGTATGCCAACATAGTAGTTCCCACCAAGTCTGGAATGGAGTTTGCGCAAAATCCGGAATATACAAGATGCTGGCTGGTAAGCTAAGGCTTGGGGATTCCAGATTTGTTGGGGGTACCACAAGAGTTTAACCAGCTAAAACTGCATAGCTCATCACTGCGAGCGCTATCTGGCAGCTCACCTCCCCTCCAAAAATCAGGGAACATACTCATCTTTCTCTTTACCGAGTAAAACCTAGAGAATCACCAGCTTTTTAAATCTACATTAAATGTAGTAATTTTATGTTAACTTTTGTTCTCTCTCCAATTGTGACTCGTTCTATGTAGGTACGCATACAGATGTCCTTCCAGTACTTGTCCCAAGAGGCTGTTATTCATGTGCAAACCACAACAGTGAACACCCATTGGAAATTCCATTTGAGTGGTGGGAGGGGGGGGGGGGAATAGCAGTGGTTGCGTCTTTGTGATATGTCTGAACACAGACTCCATGGTAGTGGCACAGAGTAGAAAAGCAAATGGACAGTGATGAGGAACAGGAGCACAAGCTTCTCCAAACCACAGCAGAGAGATTTTCTACCCCCACCCCACCTTTACCACCAGAATCAGCCAACTCAGCACTGAGAAGCCATCAACACACAACCTTATGAATTTAATCTCAGCTATCAGAAAACTTTTTTTTAAAATGCTTTTATAAGTACATGTTAATTGTGAGAAAGTGAAACTAATTATGAGAAAAAAAGCACATCCCAGCTTTCTCAAAGGGCCTCTCTAAAATTACCTCTTCTACGTAATCATGACCAACAGGTTGGACGTCGTTCTGCAATGAAGCAAGTGTGGTCATCGGCTCCACCGCTGGCTCAGGTTTCATCTCTTGAATAGGTGGTGAAGTCACCCTGACTTCAGCTGCTTTGACCTCCTCATTTTTCGGCCCTGTGGTTTGCAACTTGTTACCCCCTGACGAACAGAAATCAATACGCGGGAATTACTTACTCATCTTAGCTGAATAAAATTTGATCTCCCCCCACCCCAGATGAGATAATTATGCAATTTTATCACAAAGAGTATTCAAATAGCAGAAAATTATATTTACGACATAGTAGTTGGTTATCATAAAATCTCAAACAGCATTACAAAAGGGCGCAATTGTTGCTTCCACATTCACTGCATTTGCGCAGGAAGGCCACCTGTCTCACTTCAAACACCAGTCGAACTTTCGCTCGCTAAAACAATGTCTTACTTTCAGGTCAATCAGATTACTGTTGAAATCAAGTCCTGTTGGCCGCGTGTGAGCAGCATGAAGGAAGCAACATCAGCAGGGATCTGACGATCGGAAAACAGCTTTTTTTTAAAAAAAAAAGCAACAGAAAAGCCTTGGCTAATGAAGCATTAGTGGAGTGCCCACAGCAAAGTTTTCAAGTGACGAACTAAAACCCCAAAGTAATTTCAATGGTAAATCCCAGTATTTGTACTTACCTACAAAGGTTATCTTCGGTGTTGTTGCTTTTTTAGGAGCAACCAGTTTGTTAGCAGCATTATTGACAGGTCCAGCAGTCACAGGGTTGGACTTTGCTGGAGCAACAGTGGGAACAGTAGCATTAACAGTAGCAGCAGCAGCAGCAGTGCTGCTGGTCCCTGTGGGAGGGTTTGGAGCAGTCGGCTTGCTGGAGGCTCCAGTCATTGTTGTTGTGGCGGTTTGGCTCACCACGCTTGGTTCTGTTGATGGAATAGGCTTGCCGAGCTTGGTATGCAATTTGACTACCTAGATTGCATAAAGATCATCAATTTGCTTTGTGACAGAATTGCAGCAGCAAAACAAGTATTGTGTAAATTCAGGTTTAATTAAAAAGATTACATTTCATATTAAGGGTCTAACACTAGAGCGTTTCTTCAGTCATTTGGCACTTAGTTTCAGTCATCATAATAATAATAGTAGTACTTAAATGATTTCACTGTAGGAATTTCCAAGTTTCATGCTGCCTGGCATGAGGAAGCCAATTGATCTCATCATCGCACACAATTCTTTGAATATATTCTTTCAAAATACAAGCTAAATATTTTCTAGTTTTCCTTGCATTGTGCCTCTTTCGTTGACCCTTGTCCAAACAAAATGCCCACAGTTAAAAAAAGAATAACCGTAACATTTTGGCAGGCAAAGTTGAATGCCAAGTGCATTCACTTACTCGGACTACAAATCATTGTATACATAGATCATTTTTTTTAAACAAAAAGGTAACAACAGTTGTACGTATTTAAAAACAAAAACAGAAGTCGCTGGGAACACTCAGTAGGTCAGGCAGCATCTATGGAGAAAGGAAAGTGAGTCAACTTTTCAGATCCACGACCCTTTGTGTTCCCAGCAACTTCTGTTTTTGTTTTCAGATTTCCAGCATCTGCAGTATTTCGTGTTGTACCTATTTACTCTTTCACTCTCAGCTCAAAAATAAAGCTGGAAAAAAATCCAAAGGAAGCTTTGTATCTTGAAGTAAGACTGGACGCACACATACACGCACGCTCACACACACAAATCAATCCCAAAATGGTCAGATTGCCAGTTGCAAACTGTGCTCAACAGCCATTGCTGCAAGAAACTAATTCTATTTCCATTAAAGCCGAAGAATAGCATTCATTCAAGCCACAATAGAATAAGTTTCACAAGCTTTTTCCATACACTCAAGTACATTTGAAAATACATTTTTGCAATTTCCCTCAAAAGAGCTTTCCCTGACTTTGATGGACATTTGCCGGAAGCTTAACAAACCAATTGAATTGGATAAGCATCTCCAGAACTAAATTATTAAAAGCATTTGAGTTATACAACTGCAAACAGCACATTTACCTTCTGGTGTTTTGCTCCACGAATATGAGCTGCATAAGCGTCTGCACCGGTGCAAGAAACGTCACAGAGCTCACAACGCAGCTGATTCTGAACACCTCGAGCCACTCCTGTGCTACTACTCTGGTTCGTGGATTTCAGAGCAGCTTCCTTCTTCTTGTGTTTTTGCCCTTCCAAATGTTCTCTGTAGGTCTGGTTACAAAACCAATGGATACATTATTCCCTCACTATCAATATAAACTCTTTGTTAAACTTGCTGTTCACAGATAGTAAAGTTTGCTTGGTAACGGATTATTAACAGATGAATCAGGGGTTTCAGAAATTATAAGGAACTTCTTCATTTACAAGGTTTCAAGGTGTGGAATTCATCACTACAGGTGCCTTTACTGAGACTGAATCAATAGATTTATTCAAAAGTGCATTGGACAAGTCGCTGAAGTAAAATATTGAGGGACATGGAGAAAGAACTGGAAAGTGGGATTAAAACTGGGAGCAATTTAAAAAAAAGAAAAAAAGAGTCAAACAGCACCTCTGTGCTACAAATTTGTGTTTCTACCATCGCTTAATGTTTTTCAGACTATTGTTTGCGTTATCAATCAGGAAATGACTTGTCTAGAAGACAATCTAAAGAAATGTTTAGGCATTAGTCCAGGAGATTGTTGGGGAACAGAGGAATCATCTTTCGGATGTTAGATTAAACCGAAGTCCCATCTATCTGTTCAGATGGATATTAAAGAACTCATGACAGTATTCAAAAAGGGAAGGGAGATTTTCCTGCCCCCATCCTCTGGAACTCCATCCTACATTCCCTTTGCCTAGTTCCCTCCCTTGCCTACTTTTTGAAAAACCTGGGGTCCTGGCTAACAATGCTCCAAAATAAATTAATCATTCATCTCCTGACTCCTGCTGTGGTTTTCCAACTGGCTTCTCAACCAAGCCAACCCCCAGCTTGGGTGCAAACCCTTATTGTCCACCAGTGTCCCATAGTTGACCACTCTATCCTCCATCGCCTGTCCTCCCACCTCAACCTTCAAGGCCCTGTCCTTGAGTGGTTTAGGTCCTACCTCTCCCACCGTCTTCATTTTGTCTCTGCAAACAGCTTTTCCTCCAGCCCCCGCACTGTCTCGTGTGATGTCCCTCAGGGCTCTGTCCTCGGTCCCCTCCTCTTCACCCTCTATGTGCTCCTCCTCGGTGACATCATCCACAGACATGGGGTTAACTTCCACATGTATGCGGATGACACCCAACTCTACCTTTCCTCTTCTACCCTCAACTCCACGACCCCCGATGTCCTGACAGCTGCCTGTCCGACATCGAGTCCTGGACGAGAGACAACTTTCTTCAGCTCAATGTGCGCAAAACTGAGGCCCTCCTGATTGGCTCACGTCAGCGCCTCCGCACCTCAGGCGCTGACAGCATCAGCATCCAAGGCTGCACTCTCCACCTCTCAAAGCCATCAGGAACCTCGGGGTTCTGTTCGACCCTGAGTTGTCCTTTCTTCCCCACATCCGCGCCACAGCTGGCACCGCCTTCCATCACCTCCGGAATATCGCCAGACTACGGCACTACCTCACCCCTCACGCCTCTGAACTCTGGTCCACGCCTTTATCACCTCAAGGCTGGACTATGGGAACTCTCTCCTCGTCGGCCTTCCCGGCACCTTCCTCCACAAGCTGCAGGTCATTCAGAACTCTGCAGCTCGTGTACTGTCCCGCACCAGACTTCGCGACCACATCACTCCCACTCTCGCTCGCCTCCACTGGCTCCCCATCCCCCAGAGGATCGAATTCAAGATCCGCATCCTCACCTACAAGGCCATTGCACTCTCCTACCTCTCCGACCTACTATCCCCCTATTTACCTGCCCCTATTTACCCTCAGTTCCTCTGGCTCCGGTCTGCTCCACATCCCCCGCCCTAACATCGGTGGCCGGGCCTTCAGCCTCTCAGCCCCTATAATCATGATATCATTACTCTTAATCTAAAACTCTGTGAGATGATGGTGATCTTGTGGAGTCCTGTATCTCAGTGGTTAGAGCACTCGCTTTGCAAGCGAGAGACCTGAGTTCAATTCCAGGCAGAGGGCGAAACCTTGGGCAAGTTTCCTTACTCCACACAGAGCCTAATAATAATCCTTCCAAAACCAAAAACAATAATAAATTGGTCATATTCAATCTACGCCTGTCTGTGGGACATTGCTGTGCGCAATTGGCTGCCACGTTCGCCCACAAATATACAGTCAATTCACTTTACAGTATGTTCTGTGAAGCGCTTTGGGACGTCCTCCCGACGTGAAAAGCGCGATATCAAATGCAAGGATTATTATTATTATTATCTTCTGTGAATAAGGTGGGGAGTGTCAGCGTGGCTCAATTGGTGGCACTCTCACCTCGGAGTCAGAAAGTTTGGGTTCAAAGCCCCACATTGGGACTTGAAACTCATATAGTCTGACACTCCCAATACAGTGCCGGGTGGATGCTGTATTGTTGGAGGTGCCATCCTTCGGATAAACATTAAAGAGAGGTCCTGTCTGCCTGTTCAGGAGGACGGTAAAGATCCCATGGCTCTTTTCGAAAAAAGGGAGTTTCTCCTGGTCAACAATCCCCCAAATAAAATTGGTCACTCACTCCATGGCAGTTTGTGGGCATTGCTGTTCACCGATTAGCTGCTGAGTTCACCAACAAAATACATAGTCACATTACTTTACTGTATATCTTGTGACATTTCGACAACATGATAGAGCTATATCGAATGCAAACATTATTATGATAAATGTAAAGTAGTATCATCAAATCAATACAGCTGCTCATTCCTGGCACTTCAGTATTCAACTAACCTCTAAACACCCTGCTCCTTCCACATCCTCTTTCAAGTTCTTTCTCTTCAAATGCTAATTTTAGATTAACATGAAACCTGATGTCAAAGTTACAGGCACATGCAGGGGAAGGGGGTGCGTAAGATTATATTTGTGATGCTTACTGTTTTTAGGATTTTTGATTGATTTTTGATGGTGCGGACTATTGTGTTATATGGTCATATGGTTTGAATACAGATTGTGAACTTTACTGTTCTTCTTTTTATCTTTGATAGACAAGTGTGTGTTTTTAAATGACTACCTTAGGACCCCTGAGAGGGTACATGTGCCAATTAGTATTAGCAAAGGTAAGAATATATTGGCCTGACCCCAGCTGAGGTCAGGTTCTGATAACCTTCCCTCGCTCCGTGCCTGGATGCATTGTCATCCTCCCATCTAAGAACTGAGTAATCATGTCCTTGAGCACAGATATGAAATCAAGGAGACTCAGAGAGAGAGAAGCGCACTCCTGGAAATCTGATTAGCTCAAGACTAAGAAACAGGAAAGGAATCCTCCCAATTAGCTGTACATATATCTCTCTCCTTAAGTTATTTTCCTATGCGAAAAGAGTCTGCTCAAAGATTGCTAGCAGCCTGCGAAGGGTGGGGGCAATCTCTGTGACAAGGAGAGGTGGAGTTAGAAACACATAAAAGATGTAACTTTGAAATAGTTGGGAGTTGTGTAGAGGGTCAGCACACTTCCCAGTGGAATCAATATCGATTCTAATGTATCTATGCGTATGAACAGGGGTGAGTGAATTTACTTCTAGAAAGAAAGTGACCAAGTGAAAGAGGATGAACAGTGGGTAATATGTTTTCGGTTCTGTTTGCTAAGCAGAGAAGTAATAACAATAGTGATGGTTGGTCTGTTTGAAAAGCAGAAGTCAGGTTAAGCAGCACAAGTGAGGTGTGTGCTAAGAGCTGATTGTTTCTGTTGAGTTTACAGGAGCCACTCTCTGTGATATTGAGTGATAGTTCTGTGATTAAGTACTGTTTTTATAGGATTGGTTGTGTCCGAGGGTTTACCGGGCTCCAGTCCTTATTAAGGTTTGTATCACACAATCAGTTGTCCCTGAAGGATTTCCAGGGGCTGATCTCTGCTGTGTATGTTGGGGTGTGTTCTCGGGCTTACTGTTTTGTCTGGAGTACTGAGCAATTCCTGAGTGCATATTGTTATTTCTCAATTATTTGATTCGTATATCTGTGTCGTTGTATGGTGCGGACTATTGTATTATATGGTCATATGGTTTGAATACAGATTGTGAACTTTACCGTTCGTCTTATATATATTTGATATTAGTGAAATAAACACTATATTCTTACCACCTCCTGTTGAATTATTAACGGGGAGAGGGGGGGAGGGATTGAAGAGAGAAAAAAAAGATAAGGTCTCTGTCAACGTCACTATGGAAGCTATAGTGCCTTGTCACCATGAATATACCATTCATAGATCAACAGCAAATGTTAATGCAACTGTTCTCCAGATTTTTAAAAATTTTCGCACAAAGCTGCATACTCTTAAAAATTGGTCACGACTGTTTGTGTGACACTGATGTGCGCAATTCACTGTCATGTTTCGCCCACAAAATATACAGCCAAATCACTTTATAGTATATTCCGTGAAGCCTTTGAGACATCTCGAAAAGGTGATAAAGCGCTACATTAATGCAAGAATTATTATTATTACTCTTACTAATGTATGGGCATCAGCAATCTTACAATGCCTTGCCATTCTTCCTGTGTGCAATCCTGGACAGTAACAGTAATTTCAGGCCATCATTCAAATAAAGTACTTTCTTAAATTTGTATTTTTACCTGAGCATATACATTACGTATACCGAAAACAAGCCTACATAAATAGGCAGATTGCTAAACATTTTTCAACAAAAGGTTTTACTATGTCAAATGTCGAATTACTTGGGTTTGTATAGAATGTAGAATTACTCAATCCACGACTGTTTGTGGGACACTGCTGTGCACAATCGACTGCCGCGCTTTGCCGACAATATCGTCAATCCACTTTAGAATATATTCTGTGAAGTGCTGTGAGGCATCTCAACGACATAAGGTGCTAAAACAAATTCAGGGATTATTATTTGCTGGTGCTGCAAGCTTCATTTGACTCAATTGCTTTCCAATGCACCAAAGTTGTTTGTTAAAATGTTTAAAGCACATTGGCACAGTGTACAGACCAAGCACAATTTTCATTGCTCATCAATTGTAAAACATTTCTTACCTGTGGCCCAGCACAACTAATCTTGCAAACATCACAGTAATGGATCTGAGGCTGTTTGGGTGGCTGCTTTGGTTTCTGTTTATTCTGAAATGGCACTTTCTTGGTGAAAGTGGTCCCAGCCCAAGCTGCTGCTTGTTTCTGTTGTTGCTGCTGTTGCTGTTGGTAATAGGACGATGCAGCAGAATACACTGCAGCTTCATATCCAGCATACGTAGCCCCTAAAAAATAAAGTAGAAACCTTTTTTGCCTCGCAGATCGATACAACAGGCGCGAATGGCTGAAACCAAGAAAGGTGAGAGTGGGTGTAATAATGCTTGAAGGGCCAGATTGTGCAATAATACTATTAGAACATACTACTAAATAGTCCCTTTCAGGTAGAGGTGTCCCATTGGAACTGGAGTAGTTTGATGAATAGTGTTCATGGTCCTTATCCAGATAGCATTGTGGATATTTCAACTGTTTTGCAAGGAAAGTGCTACGCAAACCAGAGAGATGAGAGTAACTTCAATTCAGATTTCAATACAAGGTAGGCATTAAAAACTAGTTTGTTTGCGTGCCTGACCCAAGAATAGACTTATATATGATAGATTTCATACAATCTCTTAAAAGTGCTTCTAAATTGCAAACCAAATTGCAGCCATCTGCACTCGCACACTAATGTGGTCCTGCAACAGCTCATCAGAAGGTCCAATACGAACACAACCAAAAACACAACACTCTGACTGCAACAAGATCTCACTAAGCAGCTGCTGTTAATCAAGACAAATATACCAATGTAATCTCAGTCCTGCAAGCTGTAATTTAACTTGATATTATTTGATATCTTCAATAAATTTTTAGAGGTTCTCACACGAAGCTTGTTTGGGTATAAATTAAGCCCACGCTTCTACAAGAGGCAGATTTAACAGTCGTAGAAAAGCTTCATTTAAATTATACCCACAAAGCCAACTTGATAGCCAAGTGCCCTGCAATAACAGTGCAATACTATAACAGTGGGGATATACATTTAATTTTCCATATTCCAGTGACAGCACAATAAGGTGAGGCACAAACTTCAGTTTTTAACCCCAGACTGAACTTGGGACACATCCTGGCAGTTGCCTCATGGTGACATTAATCAAGGCTTATTAATAAACCACTTTAGGTGGGGGGATACAGAATGCACAATTATGCATAAAAATGATTTCTTGACAACAAAAACTCCGTTCAAAACACTGCAACCAAAAAGCCAAGAACAAAGACGCACAGAACCTCCAATTCAAGGGAGCTGGGGAGCACAATGGCTAAGCACTAGCTTTTCTGCTCAGAGACCTTGGTATCAAATCTACTCCAGATTGATGGCTGTAAGGGTCCAACATTAAACTGGTTGTTGGCACTTCTCAAGCTGGTTCCCAATGGATGTTGGGCAAATCCATGTTTAATCCTACAGTACCTAACCTGGGAGTACTCATTGCTGACACTGTTCCAATTTCCAGTCTCAACATCCCTTATCTTTACAAGCAAAGAAAAAAGTCTTTTTTAAAATGGTAAGTGACAAAAAAAGACCCTAAATCTAAGTGGATTCCCCACTTACCAGTGTAAGTCACAGCGGTTGAGCCGTACGTACCACTTTGAGTGTAGGATGGCACCACAGTGGCTGCGGCGGCTGCAGCAGCTGCTGCAGCTGGCTGCACGGTGGTGGAGACAGGATAAACAGTGAAGGTGGTCGTCGCTGGGTTGGGTGCAGCTGGTTTTATTGCCGTGACCTGGCGAGTCGGTTGTGCCTGGGTGTATTGTGTTGCAGCTTGGCTATATCCCGCCTTTGCAGCTGGAAAAAAAAACATATTCAGCACCTCTTATTAAAAGATTTAAAAGAACACTAACAGAAGGTTATCGTTAAATCCAACTTGCTGGGTCTCATAAGATATGCTATGAATTGTTGTAAACTCCACCCAAATTTAGCAGCCCCAGACTCAGTGAGCTCTATCAACGAACACCATGTGGTAGGATGCACAGTAAAGCAATCACTGATTAACGTTTTAATTCATACTTAGTTATTCAGCAAAACAGCAGCAGTCAGTCAAGAATCTCTTCATTTATCTGATCATGCAACATCTGGAGTGGCACTGGATTCTCAAGTTGAGACAGAGAATGTTCTCTTCAGGTTGTTGCTGGAAGCCTAGATCCGCAGGCCAATTTCATCCAGCTCCCCATCCCTCCCTCCATTTCATCAGCCCCCACCTCCCTCCCTCCCTCCATTTATTTTACCCTCCACTCCCTGCATAAACCTGATACGTTACTGGAAGGGAAACACAAAAATATTGCTTAATCAGCCAAAAGCTTGGACCACACTGGCCTGCACCCAGTAACTACAGTAAAAGTGGGTCATTCTCCCAAATATGACTTCAAAGACTCTGACCCGAAGCAAAAGAGTTGAAATGTAACACTTTACATTTACATGGGTCAAACTTAAACAGCAGGTTTTTTTAAAAATAATGCACTTTAGTTTTCAAATAGTAATAAGTCATCCGTCCCACATTCATACAGAATTAAAACATTTAAAGCCTTACCCAAGGCTTTATTCAATGGGAAACCTATTGGCATGCTCAAAATTGTAATGAACTATAGTACCACCCACCCATTTTAGTCAGATAAGATTTGCACAACCATCCAATACATCAACCTAGCCGTATCTTTAAAAAAAATTGAGATGAAAAAATATATACTCAATAAAATCAACACCTCTGGGGCTAGTACTCCAGTTTAGCAAATGAAACTCTACATTACTTATTTGCTAACGTAGATGTGGTACAAGTTATGTAGAAGCAGAGGTTACAGTATTAATATTGATTATCCTCATACTTTAATTATTCTTTCCTTTGTCATCAAACTCACCAGCTTGGTAGTAAGCTTCTGCTGCAGTGGGTTGTGGCTGAGCCGCAGCAGTAGGCTGCGGATAGTATTGTTTACTGTCATAGGCGAGAGCTGGTGCTGTGGATCTCACGTATGTATAGGTATCCTAATATAAAAAGAACAGGGTTACCAAACCGAACTCCCAAGATTTTTATTACTCATCACATTTGTCCTGCATTAGCATTGGAAAGAAAACATTGCAGAGAAACTGATTGAGATCATCAAAAAATAGTCCTAGGAGCAAAAATTAATGACATAAGAAAAATTATCTTTGCATTTGATATAGTGCTGTATCACATTATCGAGACATCTCAAAGTGCCTCCAGGATTTACTGTAAAGTGGGGCATCTGTGTGGGCGAATGCAACAGCCAATTAACAATAATAATAATCCTTGCATTTGATATAGCACTTTTCACGTCTTCTAGATGTCTCAAAGCGTTTCACAGAATATACTGTAAAGTGAATTGGTTGTATATTTGTGGGCAAAATGCGACAGTCAATTGCACACAGCAGTGACCCACAAACAGTCGTGGATTGAAGTGAGCAATTTTATGTCCCACAAACAGCAATGGAGTAACCAATTTTTATGGAGAGTGGGGGAGGATTTGTTGGCCAGGAAACTGGGAGAAACTCACTCTAATTTGGATTTTAAAAATTCAGCCATAAATAGGATTTTTTTCCCTCTCTGATAGAAGCAGAAGGAACTATTAGGTCTAGTACAAAGTCAGACAGAAAAGATAGATTACAGGCTGAATTTCCCATATGTAACGAGTCAGATGATGTCAGCTGGAAGCATTGGAATTAACCTTGATGCCCTTATGTTAGGGAAAGACAAAGGAAGAAAAATATAGCAAGCCTTCCTTTCTCCACCAAAGTAATGGCCTCTGATGTACAAGTTTGGAAGTTGGACATGCAGAACATTTGGTAGAAAACTTACTTAAAATTGCATGAAATTCCAAAATATTGCATTTTCATTTTTTGTTAGCATTAAAAAAATCCACAAGGTATTCTAGAATAACAGAAAGATTTCCAGTGCCGAAGGTTTCCCCCAAACTGTTGTTACCTGGTTACTGAACCGGTGAGCCATATAACTTATGTTCAGTGAACTGGTAACACTAATAATAATATTAATAATAATCCTTGCATTTGATATAGCGCCTTTTCACATTGTGAAGATGTCTTCAAAGAGCTTCACAGAATATAACGTAAAGTGAATTGACTATATTTTGTGGACGAAAGTAGTGTGGGAGAGATCAGATGGACCAAAGAGATTGTTACAGAAGCGCAACATATTATTAAACATACAATTTGACGTTTTTCCTCCAATAAATATTCAGCTAAAATCTGACAACTGCAATCAACATCACGTGCTTTATTTATGGTGTACCTGGTAGTTCTGTGTGGTGACTGGCGGCGGCGGTGGAGGGGCTTCTTGCTGCCGTTGTGCATATCCGTAGTCTGCTGCTGTGTGTGCAGTCTGATACCCCCCATAGGCAGCTGTGGCAACAGCAGCTGCTGCAGCAGCTGGAACTGGCCTGGCTGCTGAAGCAGCAGCGGCAGGAGCATAAGCTGCAGTCACAGCGTGAGCAGCTACTGGGGCCTGATGGACAGTGTAGCTGCCAGCTGTGGTGGGATGGGAGTATGCGATGCCAGTGGCCGGCTGTTGGCTGCGAAATTCAAAACAAACAAGACACGTTTTGATTACATACGTAGAATTCTCAGAGCCTTCAAATAGCAGTCGTGATACTCTGGCTTTTTTTTTAAAAAAAAGCAAAAACGATAATGTCAGTATTTCGCTTCAATAATTACCAAAGTTCCATTACATTTCAGAATTTGATGAAGAATTTGCAGCTCTTCATTGTCCGAAAGCAAATACATTCATGTTGATTCAGCTTTTTGGGGGCTCAAAGGGGAAGATTTACTGGCACCAAGTGATCTTTTCTCACTATATCAATGCAAGTTGTTATTGTTTCCTTTGAGGCCCATTTGACTGGCTCAAAACTTTAGTACTTGGGGAATCTTCTTCTTGTGTTTAAGAGGATTCTCAGATAGTTCCAGACAGGCAGACTGACACGTTTATTTTCTGCTTCAAGTTTATGCGCCATTGTTTAGTTAGAGAGATGTGTGCAAGGTCTTCATCCACATCACTTACGTTCAAAAATCAAGCTCTATTACTGCAATGCTTGGAATACAATCGAAGGCCCATCAATCTACCAAAACCTGACAAATCCAATAAGGTACAGAAAGAAAGCCTTTTAAAATACTTTTGAAAAGGGTTAATACAACAACAAGATTGCATTTATATAGCGCCTTTCACGTCGGGAGGACGTCCCAAGGCGCTGGACAGTTGGGTCAGGACCCGAGCAGGAGGGAAATGGTCAGGGTGAGGGGAGGGAAGGGAGGGAGCGAGGAGGGGGAAGAGAGTCGAGAGGGGAGCTGAAGGCACGGTCAAAGAGAAAGGTCTTGAGACCGGCCTTGAAGGAGGAAAGGGAGGAAGCGGCGAAGGCACTGGGGGATGGAGTTCCAGAGCCTCGGGGCTGAGAGGCTGAAGGCCCGGCCACCGATGGAAGGGCGGTTGGGGCGGGGGATGTGTAGCAGACCGGAGCCAGAGGAAGGCCGACGAGGAGAGAGTTCCCATAGTCCAGCCTTGAGGTGATAGAGGCGTGGACCAGAGTTTCAGCAGCGTGAGGGGTGAGGTAGTGCCGTAGTCTGGCAATGTTCCGGAGGTGATGGAAGGCGGTGCCAGTTGTGGCGCGGATATGGGGGAGAAAGGACAACCCAGGGTCGAACAGAACCCCGAGGTTCCTGATTGGCTTTGAGAGGTGGAGAGTGCAGCCTTGGATGCTGATGCTGTCAGTGCCTGAGGTGCGGAGGCGCTGACGTGAGCCAATCAGGAGGGCCTCAGTTTTGCGCACATTGAGTTGAAGAAAGTTGTCTCTCGTCCAGGACTCGATGTCGGACAGGCAGCTGTCAGGACATCGGGGGTCGTGGAGTTGAGGGTAGAAGAGGAAAGGTAGAGTTAGGTGTCATCCGCATACATGTGAAAGTTAACCCCATGTCTGCGGATGATGTCACCGAGGGGGAGCATATAGAGGGTGAAGAGGAGGGGACCGAGGACAGAGCCCTGAGGGACACCGCACGAGACAGTACATTTACATAACAACTTTCACATCAAGAGGATGTCTTAAAGAGCTTGACACTGCTGGCTGGGCACTCGAACTGAGGGTAGGTGCCGAACGGGGTGGATAACAGAAAATGTGGTCAAAATAGGCCTCAAATAAAACATGGAAAGAGAAACGGTCATTTGGTGCCCTTTCAGAAGGCATCTATAACTTGCTCCTTCATGGATTTACTCATTCCAATTAATTTTCAAAAGCTAGATTTTAAAAAAAATTGCTCTCAGCTTCTAAAAGATAAAACAAATGACACAATATCTATTTAACCTCTCATGTAGGTTGCTCTTCCTTTCCAAAGTCCCAACCATTCACATTTCATACATCACTTGATCATTTCTGTTCACTGTTCTCTTTCTAACATATCATTAAGATTATTCATACAACACATTTATTGTTTTCCTTAGAAGTCTATTCCAGACATTCACAAATACAGGGGATAGGGGGAGGGGAAATCCTTTAATATATGTCTTGCATGAGCTTATTTATTTTATACTTGTGTCATGTGAGCTATCTGTGAGTTTACAACCTACTTGTATCTAGGTTCCCAGCAATTTAAAAACCTAGCTCCTTTCAAGTGCTTTCCATAATGAAAAGGTTACCTCAGAGTCACTGATACCATTACTTGGAGCCTCATTCCTGGAACCACCCTTAATGTTTCTCTTGGAACACTCACCAATGTCCTTTTGAAGGCAAAATATCAAAAATGCGCAATTATTCTGAATGTGGCCTCACCGGTGACCTATTACAAACTGCTTCAAATGAACTCTGTTAGTACTGTGCACGATTATCATGGTCAACAGCTTCACACTAACTAGAAAAAGTCAACCAAGCCTAAATCATTTTTCTTTGATTAACACCCCCTTCATAGCTTGTGAATTACCTTAGAACACTTAGTTGATCCAGAACCAAGAACACACTTTGTAATTTTGAGAGCGTTCTTCCTCACTATTCAGTTACAAATAACAGACCAGAGCTGCAGAATTCAACTGCTCACTTCCAACAAGCCACTTATTATAAACATCAGCTTCCCATTGCCAGGAGAGTTTTCACTTAGTTAATTTGCTATTAATGTCATAAGCCTCATAATGCTCTAAAGTCTCTATTAGCAGCAGAGTAGGCGCAGACATTTTGTGTTAAGGTGCTGGTTCCCTGTTGCATGACCAAAATATTTGCTGCTGTAGGGCTGGGGGAACTGAATTGCAGGCATCATTGCATGCAAAATGATTTTCCAAACTGTATTCATAGTAATTTTCTGTCAAAACAAAATCACATTTCTGTCCGATGTGGCAGGACTAAAATCTCAACAGCAGAACTAGAAAAAGAAATTGCAACTGCGGCTATCAGAGACAGTGGGAGGAACCCATTATCGTGATGTTGAACTTTTTTTTAGGTCAACCAGGTACATGAAAAGTGGAAACCTTTTAAGATTGCTTAAAGAGTATTCAAACTAGAATTCCACACATGCAACAACAAAATTACATTTATATGGTGCCTTTCACGTCGTCCCAAGGCACTGAAATCTATAAATGGAAATTTCTCTGTGTGGAACAGAGTGCACCGGAAGGATGCACCATGTTTAACAACAACAACATCTTGGATTTATATAGCGCCCTCCACGCCGGACGGCATCTCAAAGCGCTTTACAGTAACGGATTCTGGGACCGAGCCGGGGGAAGGGGGAGGAAGGTGACCAAAGGTGCGGTCAAAAAGAAAGGTCTTCAGCAGAGACCTGAAAATAGGAAGGGAGGGAGCGAAGGGAGTTCCAGAGCCTCGGGGCATAGTGGCTGAAGGCACGGCCACCGAGGGTGGAGCGGAGGACTCGGGGGACGAGGAGGAGGCCAGACCCGGAGGAACGGAGGCAATGGGTACTATTTTGAGGAGAGAGGAAGTCAGAGAGGTAGAGGGTTGCAGAGGAGTGCAGGGACTTGAATACAAGGGTGAGGATCTTGAAATCGATCCTCTCTGGGATAGGCAGCCAGTGCAGTCTGGCAAGGACTGGGGTAATCGGGGAGCGGAGTTTCGTGCGGGTGAGATTGCGGGTGGCAGAGTTTTGAATGATTTGGATTTTATGGATGGTAGTGGATGGGAGACCGGCGAAGAGGGCGTTTACCTAAATCCAGAGAGTATTAGGTGCAGGCTGGCTAAGGCCACGGCCCAGAGTGTTCACTGAGGTACTGTTGAAGTTTAACCAGCTAAAGCCACACACCTGCTATTGAAAACACTGTCTGGGAAACATCCTGCTGCTTGTCCCGCTAGGACCACCCGACTCGTTGGGCTTTGGCTTGTAAGGTTAACGGGAACCGATGGAGAAAAATCTCATGTGACTGATCTGCCCCTCCAAGTCCTGCAGACTGGACAGGCTGACCTGTCATCAGCAGAAAGACAGATTTGGAGAACTGAGGATGCCCCCCCCCCATGAGGCAAAGCAAGAATGCCATCAGCACTTCAAGTGCAGCATTAAAAGCATCAACAAAAATGCCTACAGTGTTTTCAGATCTGGAAGAATGAACTCTATTCTGTTAAGAATACAATCAATCACTAGGAAAAATTTAAGGGAGTTAGTTTTAGCCCAACGGACACCAGACCCGAGTCTAAATTAGTAATAGTTTAATTTGGGGGAAGGGGTAATGTTGAAAAGGAAATTTTCATCAAGGCAAAATGAAACATTAGTTACCAAATTAATGGAATACTCAAAACAGGGATATTAAATAGAATTTTCCATGCATTACATAATTGAATGATCATTACTCTTGTGACAAAGAAGACTACGAACCAATACAAATCTTACCCCCTGGTATCAGAAGTTCAAGGGAAAAAAAATTTAAGCTCGAGAACACACTTTGAAAACTGCAGAGAACATTTAGCGATCAAAGGGTTAGTTGTTAAAATATTGAAAAGATCCTTTATACCCAGAAAGAATCCCATTACAGCGTGGGGTTTTCTTTTGTATGTGGTGCAACAGTCCGAGCCTGGAGAAACTGAATTTACTAGTAGGAATTCTGCCTGTTACCACAGTTCCAGTTTAGCTCCAAGAACCATTATGCAAGGCAAGTGATTTGCAATACAAAATTTTAGTCTATTTTTAGTCTAACCTACTTTGAAATTTCTGTTCAACAATTCTTTTGGAGGGAGGCAAATTCAGTAGGAATAAGGAACAGTACTTCATATTCAAGCTATTTATTGTTTATAGCCTTGTATTGTACATTTGCTTGCAACAGCAACTGACCAAAGCTGATAAATTATGAAATCATTTGAAAAAAGTCAAATTGTATTTAGAAAAAACAAATTCAATCACTGATTCGTTCCGCCGCCTTAACCCTCCCAACCACCACTCACTCCCTATCTCTCCCTCACACTACGCCACTACCCACCCCTCCCTCCTCACCTTCAAACCTGAATCCCCCTACTCTCTCACTATCACTATACCTGCATGAAGCCCACCACCTGCTCCCTCGACCCCATCTCTATCGCTCTCCATACCTCCCAGCTCC